TATAGTCCTGGTTATTGGGGAGTAGGAAGCAGGCTGGTTCTTTAGGAGCAAGAGTTTTCCCCAACTGCCTTTCCAGAGACATCCCTTATACAGAGCTCTACTGTGGGGATGCCAAGGGGTGGACATGCCGAATCCTCTACCTGGTTTCTCCACAGTACACAGATGCATCTCTTTATGGCTTCTAACTGCACCCTTGGTGTGAGAAGACAGTTATGTCAACATGTACGTAAATATGTAGAAAAAAGTCTGGAAGCACACAACATGTGTCCCCACCTAGTGCCTACAGTGGTTGCGTCTGTGGACCAAGGAGGGAGCCAGGACGGGAGTAGGAGAGAGCTGGTCCACAGGGAATTATTAAAAAGTGGGGCTCCGAGTACCAGTGTGTGCAGGTGATTCTGCTCGTGGCCAGCCAGCCCAGCACTGGCCAGACTGAGGCCTTCCCCAGGCCCAGCTGCAGACCTTGGATGTGCCAGCTGAAGTGGCTCACCTCATACCAGCTGCGTGACCTCAGGGAAAGCTGAGCCTCAGTTTCTCCATGTGTAAGATGAGCCACAGTGCCCACCTGTTGAGTTGTTCTGAGGACTGACTGTGTGGAACAATACAGCCTTTTATTGTTTACACTTGGCATCCCCAGAGAAGTGACTACTGCTTGTTTCCCTCCCGGGATATCACTCTATGCTTCTTGGGCCAAATCTGCTCACATATATGGCTCATGTGGGCTTTAGAACATTGGAAACTTCACAGAGATGAGCACTGTCAGGCCAGACACGAGCCTCCCCTCTCCCCACTCCCCCCACCTCTCCCTGTGGTTTCCTCCCTAGCTCACTTCCATCCTATCTGCGTGGCCCCTGTGGGCATCGGAGGTTACACCCCTGCCCCAGCCCACTTCCCTCACTCTGTCCCTTCTCACCCAGACCTCCTGGAGAGCCAAGCAGCAAACAGCTAGAGGTCAGACAGTGCTCCGGACTGTTCATGAAAGGTGAACAAACACATTTTGGAAGCCAGACTTCCCATTTTGAAAGCCAGGATGTCCAGCTCATGACTGTGCCTGACAGGAAGGCCTCCCCACCCCCACCCCCCCTCTTTAAATGAGAGTGTTTCTGTCTTGCCAGATGTTTCCATAGTAGTAATTTTGCAGTACTCGTCATTGAAAGCTGCCCGTGCTGTCCTTCTCAAATAGCTGTCTCCTGATTAATTCACATCACGCACCTGCTCTGTGCCTCTGCTAAACAGAGAACACATCCATATAAACATGTAAAAGGGTGCTTTGAGAATTGACTTTTCTGACAGTCGGCAAATAGTTGCCTGCCATCTTTCAGCTGGATGATTGAAGCCGAGTCCTACGGTGTAAAATGGGTTTGATGGGTCTCGTTCTAAATTGCCACAGAAACCTCCGTAGTAATGGCCTGGTGAACTAGAAATTTAGTTGGAGCTTTTTCACCTAGTTTTCAGGAAGACAAAGGGGGGAATAAGTATAGATGGACACCTCTTCTGTCTCAGGTCCCATTCCCAAGAGCAGGTCAGAAGCCTAAGCGAGACGGAACATGGCCTGGGAGTGAAACCATCAGGTGACCATTTTCCTGACAAGGTTGTTCTCAGAACATTGCTAGAGAACAGTGCTGCCCTGGGAGAAAAATACCTGTGTTTATTCACATATGATTCCAAAGTAATTATTAAACACCTACTATGTGTCAGGTACCGGTTAGGCCCTTGGACAAGATTGGACAAGGGCCCCTGGTGTCGTGGAGCTTAACTTTGAAAAGGAGACAATAAATAACTTAAAGAGCTGAAAAGATCATTTCAGAGACAAGAAAGAAAGAAAACAGGATGATGGAATAGAGAAGGGATGGATGGGGAGGGGCTGCTCTAGGGAGAGGGCCAAGAAGACGTCTGCAAGGACAAGAGGGAGCCGACTTCACAGGTATCTGGGAAGAGCGTTCCAGGCAAATGCTCATGTCCCGAGGGGGGACTGAGTTGGTAGGATCAGGGAACAGCAGTCGGACTGTGTGTTCGGAGTGGAGGGAGGAGGGAAAGAGTGATGGGAGCCGGCCGGGGTCAGAGAGGTCAGCTCGGGCCGGATCAGCAGGCCTTATTGGCCACTGACGGGGGTGGGTTTATGTGTAGTACTAAATCACTGGGGGGTGTTAAGTAGGGGGTTGCCAGGACCTGATAAGGTTTTTATTTGTTTATTTTAAAAGACCTGCTGCTGTGTAGAAAATGCAGCGTGTGTCCTTGGAATAGGGAGGCAGTGACAATCAGAGTGGGTGGAATAGAGGCAGAGGGACTGGTAGGAGGTCACAGTGGTGTCTCTTGGAGAGGTGATGGCGGCCTGGGTGAGGAGGCTGGGAGAAGAGATCAGGTTTGGAAGGGGTTTTTGAGGTTAGAGCAATGGGACTTCAGCAGCCTGACTATGTGAGTGAGAAAGCAAGAGGAATCAGGCAGGGCTCCTGGTTTTTTGGCAACTGATTGAACGGTGCAATCATTTTTTTCAAAGATTATTTATTTATTTATTTATTTATTTTTAGAGGAGTAGGGAGGGAGAAAGAGAGGGAGAGAAGGAGAGGCAACTGAGGGAGATCCATCAGTTGCCTCCCACATCCCCCATCTGGGGACCTGGCCCACAACCCAGGCATGTGCCCTGACTGGGGAATTGAACTGGCAGCTCTTCAATTTGTGGGACAATGCCCAAGCCGCTGAGTTACACCATTAAGGACAATGATGCAACCATTTTTAGGATGTGAGAAGACTAAGCTTGGGAAAAGTGAGTTAAGAATTCTGTTTGGGGCATGTAAACATTGAGATAACAGATATCCAGGAAGAGAGGTTATATGGTCGCTAGGGGCTTAGTGGACAGTTCAGGGTTGGAGAGTAAAATAATCAGGGGTCATACACAAAGATGATATTTAGAGCCCTTGGCCTGGATGATGCCACCTAGTGAGAGAGCGAAGGAGATCTGGAGGCCCAGGATGGAGCCCAACCTGTCAGGGCCCAGCTGAGGAGGAGGAGCAGCCCAGGAGCCTGGGCAGGGGCAGCTGAGGCAGCAGGAAAACCAGGCAAGTGCAGAGCCCGTGTGCCTGGGGAAGGAAATCTATTAAGGAGGAGTGGCCAAGAGCACAGATACTTCTGGCAGCTTCTCTACCTAAGGACGGGATTTCCCAGTGGACCTGGCAACCCTCTGGACCCTAAAATTGACTGTCCAAACTGGGGCATTTCTGAGAGTGAGAAGAAGGTTCTATGAATGATTATACCAGGACTACAGGAGTAAATCAGAATTGTCCCAGACTAACAGGGAAGTTCCTCCACCCCAGTTATTGGTGCCCTTGGCAAGGTAGGTTCCTTGCAGAGGTTGAGGTAAAGGCCTGACTGCAGCAGGGCCACCGAGCCATAAGAGGAGGAAAGACAAGTTGCCATGGCAGCAACTCTCAAAGAGTCTGCTGTAGAGGCAAACAAATGGTGGGGCACCCCAACAAGGAAGTACTCCTTAGCAAGAGAAAGGAATAAAACTATTAATTCATATAGCGTGGATGAATCTTCAAATAATTAGTCCGAGTGAAAGACACTAGGCCAAAAAGAGTACATAGTGACTGATTCCTTTTACTTAAAAAGTCTAGGCAGTGGACACTAATCTATAGAGATAGAAAGCTGATGGGCAGGTGGTTTCCTGGGGATGGGGGTTAGAAGGGCAGGGAGGGATTGCCCAGGGGTGCAAGGAAACTTGGGGGGATGTGTTCATTATCTTGACTGGAGAGATGATTTTGTGGGTATGTGCTTGTATTAAAACTTACCAAGTTATACACTTTAAAAATGTACTCTATTCTGTATGAGGTATGTATTATATTCCTCAATAAAGCTGTTTTTAAAAAATGTTTTTATGTAAAGAGGAATGGACAGATAGCAGGGCAATGGCAGGAGGAGGTGCGGTTTCATTTTCAGCACAAAGAAGGGTTGAACACCCCCGCATGGTATCAGGGGAGAAGGAGACAGGGAGGCTAGTCAGGGACCCCTTTGTCGTGTCACGCTGAGGGGTTCAGAGTTCATCCCATCGGCTTGAGGTTCTTCACATTCTGTGTGCCAGAGAATCATCTGGAGGACCCGTTCAAGTGCAGTGCCCACACCGCACCCCCTGGGCTTCCCTGCGAGGAGGACGCCGCAGGGCAGGCAGGCAGGGCCCCGCCTTCTGTGCTTCCCGGAGGCTGGGGGCCAGCTCCAGGCCACAGCACTCTGGGGCAACCGTCAGTGGCAGGGAAGGGGTGAGCGGATAAGTGCCCCAAATTCCTGCCTTTGGAGAGACACTCTGAGGCACATTTTATGGGTTCCTCAGACAGCCACGTGGGATGGAGCCCCAGGTGCCCACAGCAGTGACCAGCTTAAAAACTTTTGGGGGGTTTTCTCTACCTTTCTGACTCTGTCACTGCCTCTTTGGAGCACCTTACCCAATACGCTGCCTGCACTCCGGTTCTTGTCTCAGGCTCTGCTTTCAGGACAGCGAAAATGTAATAGCCATTGAACCAGGGAGGCTGCATTTTAGGTGCATGTCAAGGTTTTCTGATGTGGAGGGCCCAGGCACCATCCTTTAATGAAAGCTTTGTAGGCAGCTGGCGGGAAACCTGAGGATTTCACAAGGGGGAGTGACTGGGTCAGATCCACTCTGGTAGAAAAACTACCTCTGATGGCAATGTGAAGCTGAGGTTGAAGCAGCAAGAGACAGGAAGCACAGAGACCAATTAACAGGCCATTACAAATGTCCCAGCAAGAGGCAATGATGACAAAGGCTATAGAGGCCACCTCTTTGTGAAAGTCCTTTGATTTATAGAGTATGCCAGCTTCACACAGAAATGATACTGAGCCTTATTTAATATTCCCAGTGCTGTGGTTTTATAAAGCACATGTATCTAGCATTCCACATTTTATCTCCTACTTTCACAATTTGGTATATCTGTCTGACGCCACGCATCTTCGTTTTGTTAAATTTTATGTTTTGTTAAATTTTGTGTTTTCAGGATCTTGACATTGGTGCCAAGAATGTGAAGCTTTATGTCAACAAAAACCTCATCTTTGACGGCCAGCTGGACAAAGGAGGCGGGGAGGCCCCGGCTGACCAGAGCATATTGGTTGGCCTGAAAAATGCGAAGATTGAGAGACTGGAGAACAGCATTAATGCCCAGTCGGAGAACAGCAAAGATGCCTGCACGATGGCCGCCACAGGTGGGGACGAGGAGCTCAGCGTCATTTACTCGAAGCCCGCAGGAGCAGTAGTGGGCGTGAAGGTTTCTTCACCGGGAAATCTATCTAGTGAAAGGACGAAGTCTCCTGATTGTGTGAAAGACAATTTGTCCAAGTTAGAGGACGCCTTCAGCTTGTCAGCAGCCCCAGACTCAACAGGGGGTGTGCCTGGTGCCCCTCTCCCCAGCCTCCCTGGGGAATGCCCTCCTCTTGACCAACAGCTAGAAAACCCCACAGGCAGAAAAGTCTCTGAGCCTCCAGGGAAAATCCCCTCCTGGCTACAACCATCTCCCACTGGGAAAGGCAAGAAGCCAAAACCCCTCTGGCTGGGTCCTGAGAAGCCGCTGGACTGGAAAGACAGGCTTCCGTCAGAGGACATCATCGGGGAAGGTCCTGGAGAGATGGGGGATACAGGCCTCAGGCGTGACCAAGGGCGGGCCAGCAGCTGGAATGTCATCTCGGGGGAGAGAGCCCAGAGGGTGACCCCCAAAGTCTGCAGGGATGACTTTGACATCTTCGGCCGGCCCTCCAACAGGGAGCGCCCTGCTAGTGGGCGGAGGGGCCTGAAGAAGGACGCCCTCAGCAGCAGTCACTGTGATGGCTCGCCAGCGGGCCGAGGTAAGCTTGAGAAGCGGTCTGACTGGTTCCACGGTCCCTGCAGGAGGCTGCTAATTGGCACTGGGCCACTTTGCTCCCTGGACCTCAGTTTCCTCTTCAGCCAGGGGTTACAAATTTACTGACTCAGCAGCCGCAGAGCTGGCGCAGTGATTGAAATGGGCAAGACTTACTCTGCATGTTAAACTCAGACATATTGGTCATTGCCACCAAGATATGTCCCTTCGCTCACTTTTTCTCTCGATACATGGCTTTTCCAACCTAGACTTGGTTGTTCCACCTCTGAGAGAGACATTGGTCTCTATTTCACTTAATTCCTTAAATGTACTGTTAGAAAAATAACACAAGTATGATGATAAATAGCAGTTGACTCTTGCCTGCATTTTGGAAGCACTGTAGGGTGTGGTGAGGCCTGTGGCTAACTGGGGAGCAAAAGCCCAGCTCAAAGGGGCAGCTGCTGCTTCACTCAGCCTGCTTTTTGGCGTCAGGAATGCAAGGCCGATGTGCTGGATCTCCCTTTTCCTTTTATTAAGACAAATCAGAAATGTAGACTATTCTTATTTTCAGCATTGGTGACTTAATCAAGATTATCTTAAAACCAGGGTGTGTGCCAAAAAAGAAAAAAACACATACACTGGCAGGACTTACCTGCTTTGTGAACTTTGTAGTAGATGATCTGTAAGGGATCAGAAAGGAAGGTATCAAAAGCTAGACTTCTGAACATTTTCACTCAGATTTGGCTACCGGGAAGGTGTGCAGCATAGTAACTAGGAGTCAAAGCATTTGAATCCAAACTTGGCTACTTATAGAGCTGGGCACTTCCATTTTCTGAGCCTCAGCATCTTTGTCTACAAAATGGGGATGGACACGCCCTTCCCTGCCACCTCCTTCTCAGTGTCATGAGGAATGAATGAGATGATGGCTTCAAAATAGTAATCAGGGCCTGGCACGTGGCAAGTGCTCCACAAGTGGCAGCCATTTTTCAACATTGATGTGTCCATCCTTTATTGTCCACAAAGCACTCGGACTTTACCAAGGCAGGGCTCACCTGTAGATCCTCTGAATTTAACTCTACCTCGCATCGCTTAGGAACCAGGCAGTCAAACTGCCTGGGCATGTGTCCTGATCCCTCACCACCAACCCACATCAGGGATAAGCCTGAAACTGCTCCGAACTTAAGTTTCTTTATCTGTAAAATGCCAGTAATACCATCTCATGGGTGCTGGGAGGATCAGATGAGATCATACATGTGTGGTGCTTGGTACAGTGCTGGGCACATGAGAGCACCCAGCAGATGTTAGCTTCTGCTACTTATCATCATCATCAAGATGATCTCCATCATCGCTGCCCCCACTCTGTGACACTTTCTCTTGGCATATCTGTAGGTAAAACCAATGTACAGTTGACCCTTGAACAACTTGTAGGTTAGCGGTGCCGATCCCTTGTGCAGTTGAAAATCCACCTATAACTTGACTCTCCCAAAACTTAACTGCTAAAAGCCTGCTGTTGACTGGAAGCTTTACCAATAACAAACAGTTGACAAACATATATTTTTTTTATGTATTATATAGGTATTCTTACAATAAAGTAAGCTAAGGAAAAGAAAATATTATTAAGAAAATCATAACAGAAAATACATTTGTTGTACTGTACATATTTACTGAAAAAAATCGCATGTAAGTGGACCCATGCAATTCAAACTGGTGTAGTTCAAGGGTCAACTGTATATATTTTTTAGTGAGTCAAATTAGCATCCACTCTATTGTTGCTTAATAGATAGATCCTGAATGTCTGCATTCAGCCCAAGTTTACACTCAGAGATGTGAAGAGTTTTAGGCCTCTTTCGGACCCCTTTCAGACCCCTAAGTGACAACTTAGGACACCAGAGCAAGTCCATAAGACTGGAGCGTCTTCCTTCAGTGAGCCGCAGGCTTGTTCCAGGCAGAGCTGCCCCTGCTGGCTCCCCAGCCTCACCTACCCCATCAAGACTTAACCCTGTGGCTGGGTGTGAGGGGGGCCGCAGAAGCTCTTTAAAGGCAGAGATTGTATCTTATCTGGAATGGGATCCCCAGGAGCAGGTGCCTGGCTCAGGGTGAGTCCTCCGAGTGTGGGAGGAGTGGGGGGCGGGGACTGTGGTGGCTGGCTCTGGGGCGTGTAGCAGTAAGGCAGGCTCTCACCCAGGCACGGCACTCAGATGAACCTGTTTACTCCTCACACCAGCCCCCACTGACAGATGAAGAAAATGTGGGGTTAAGTAACTTTCTTCGGGTCATGCAGCCAGTAAGAGTTAGAGCAGAATTTGAGCCCAGGTGTTCCTGCTCCAGAATCCATGGTCAAATCACTGCCCTACGGTGTGCTGTGTCCCTCATCAGCCCTCATCAGCACCCTGCCCCGGGAAAGCCAGGCAGTCCTGAGCTTTCCTGGTAAACAGACCCACAGAGACTCGGACTTCTGAGGTGGTGGGCATTATTCCAACTTGACCAAGCTCTTTCCAGGCATTTCACTGCTTGGCTCATTGACACATTAAGAACTGAGCCCTTAAGATTTAATGCTTGTTAAGCCAATTGTGCTAAAAAGGAAAGTTGCCTAGAAATTTTAAAGTACTCATTACATAGAGCCAAACCCCATGGCCATGACCTTCAGGAAAGGTACAGGCTGAGCCTTCCATGGACGCTGGTAGAACAAATGACTGCCAGATTCCTCACTAGGACTGGAGTTGTATTGTTACCATAAGACAGAGCCTAGAAGTTCTTTTGTCTAACAGAGCATCTCATTGTAATGACATCTGCATTCTGGAAGTGTCTTTATCAGGGGTCAGTTGGCTACAGATGAATGAAATTTCATCAGCCCAGTTCAAGCAGTAAAGGGGGTGTTACTTGGGGAATGCTTGGGGAGCGCCTAGACCCCCAAAGGCAGCAAATGTAGCTGATCATCACCTGGGATTGGAAGGTGGAACCAGAAAGCTGGCAGGCACCAAGGAAGCTTCGCCCTGTGTCTCCAGGGCTGCTAGGCTCTACCTCTGTCTCTACACAGGCCTGCTTTCCCTCACTCTTCCTCATGGGATCAGCTTTCTCTGCCTTTGTGCACACAGCAGGAAATGGCCTTGCAGCCCCAGAGTGACACAATTTTCTGGCTCTGTCGCCAGGAGCCAATTCCAAAGTCTCAGGGGAGAAGCTGATTGGCCTACTCAGGTCAGGTGTCCACTCCTTGTTCAGTCAGCTATGACTGAAGGGTGGTACACCAAGAATAAACATGATTCTATTATATATCACTATGTACTTTTTCATTTCCTGCTTTAGTAGCAATTTGCGAACACCTCATGGTGGTGCCATTGATTTTTACAAACTCAAGTGCAGAACTCTGTCGTTCATATTAGTCTCAGTTGAGGAATAGTTTTGAATCTTCAGTCGCATCTCATATTGGTGATCCCTTCTAACCTGTGTTGACTGCAGACGGAAGCAGCATTTTTCTGTTGTCCATTCAGATTTACAGGTAGGAATGTTGACAAAGGATTTCAGTCCATGGAAATCAAATCACAGTAAACTGGAATACTGATGATCCATAGGACCCAGGATGACATGCACGTCTGGCTGGCCCCTTTCACACTGGGCAAGTCCCTTCTGCCAGATGTTAAGCCTTCCCCCTGGAGGAAAGATGGAAGAAATTCCTGGGGTCTTTTTAACGGCAGGTGAGGAGGAGGGTTGAGGACAGGAGAAGGAGAGCTGAGGGTGGAGAGGGAGTCCCTCAGCCTCCAAGTCTGAACACGGAGGTGTAATGGTGATGCCAGCTGTCCATCCTTTTACTGGCCAGCACTGAGCACTTCCTTGTGCCGTGTTCTGTGCCGGGCACTGGGACACAGCAGGGAACTGGGCAGCACAGGCCTCTCTGTGGAGGAGGGTGACAAGAAGAGCCAGCTACTTGGAGATCTAAGGAAAGAGCATCCCTGGCAGAGGGCACAGCAAGGACAAATGCTCTGAGACAAGGGAGACCTGGTATGTGTACAGAACAGAACGGCCGTCGCGGCTGGAGTCGGATGATGGTGGGGAGGCGGGTGTGAGATGAGGTTGGCACCTGGGGGCATGGTGAGGAGTTAGACTTTCTTTGATTTTCCTTGTTCTCAGCATAGTAGAGATAATGTCACTTAGAGGGGATGTGACAATGCCATTTTAGGCACATGGGGTTTGAAGTGACAGAGTAGACATGTCTGGTCATTCCTGGTCAGGCGGTTGTTGGAATTGGAAGGTGGTGCCTGGGGGCGAGGGGCAGAACTTGAGTTATAACACTGAGCGGTGCCTGCGAGGAGCTGGGTGAGGGCGATTGGGAGGGCGGTGTTGGGGGAGACGGGATGGAGCTGAGGCCTTGACACAGAGCCAGACTTAGGACTTACGGGGTTGGGGGGCGTGGAGGCCATGTGATACAAAGGGAGGAGCTGTTGCAAGGAAATGGAGAACCAGAAAGTCTCCTGAGCTGGAGGAGGAGCTTGGCCTAGGACGTCAAGCATGGAATGAAAACTGAGAAAAGATTGCGTACTTGGAGCCTGTGAACTTGGAGAAAGTAATTTCAGTGGACGGCTATGGAAATTGTAGGATTCATGAATGAAGGGACAGAAGTTCCCTAGGCATGTGACATCGGACACAGCTGGATCCAAGGGCTCAGATGATGTCATCGAGAGTCCGTCTCTGGCCTCCTGTTCTCCATGTGGGCTTTCTTCTCAGGCAGGCTCCCCCCACAGAGCAGCAACATGGCCACAGGCAACTCTACCGACATCCTGCCAGCTCAGTGGCTCCAGTGTAAGGAGAGCCTCTCTCTCCCTTGGTGTCTTTCATGAGCCCAGCTTGGAAGGATGCTGTCAACATTTGCCTGCTCTGAATGGCCTGAAGGTGGGGGGGTCTCCCAGGGAAAATCAGGTGTTGTTCCTAGAAGAAGGGGAAGGGGAGTTTGAGTGGGCAGAACAGTTACTGGACGAAGAGGACGCAGGTTGCAGGAGCTGAGAAGGGTGGGGGTGAGGAGGACGCAGTCACTGCAATGAAAGGGGAGCTGTGAGCGCGGGGCCGCTTCCTCGTTCTTTCAGGTAGGAGAGATTTATGCATGTCTGCAGGCAGAGGGGAAGGTGCCAGTGGGGAAGGAGCGATTGAAGATTCTGGAGAGAAGAGGTAATTGATGGAGCCAGACCCCCTAGGAGACAGGCAGAAAATGGAGTGCGAAGCCCGGTACAAGAGGAAAGGAGAAAAACCCAAATGTCAGTGTCATCAGCGGCTGCTTTCTTAGAATGGCACCCTGAGATGGCAGCTAGCCACAGTGTAGCTGTGAAAGCAGGCCACTGCTTGAGGCGCACGCCTGAGATTTTATGTTCTACGAGGAGGAAAGCGGGGCTCAGAAGCCATCCCTCTGGGGACCAGACCCGTGCTCTCCATATGCTCGGGACACAGCTTCAGCTTCTAGAGCCCACTTAAGCCATGTGCATGTGTAGAAGTAAATTTCTTACCCTGTAGTACCCCTGGGTTGCTTGCTTTTTAAAAGCATTTTTCTGATTATAAAATTAATGCTTGTAGGGAACGTAGAGGATAATGTGACAAAGAAGGAAATAAAAGCCCTTCCTAATCACTATCCAGAAAGACCAAATTAACACCTTGGAGCGTGCTGCCCATACTAGGATAGGCCACATCTAAAATGGCATAGCTGGCTTTTTTTCACCCTCCCTTCTTTTATGAGCCTTTCGCCTGTCGCTAGGCAGCCTTTGAAACCCCAGTTCAAGTGCGTGACTGTGGTAGCCTTAGGGGCAGACTCAGGCCACAGGCAGCAGCCTTGCTGTGGCCACGTGAGTCTCTGAAGTGGAGGATGACTTCTGGCAAAGGTTCTAACGCAACCAAATAGGCCTCCCATGATTTGTGTGAGGTTACATCCTTAGAGCAATGTACATTGAAAAATACTTCACCTTTTGTAAAAGTAAAACAACTAGGTTCCAGACTTGGTTGTCTATAAACAACTTTTTACAAGCCATTTAATATTGTGTGGATCGTCCCATGCATTGCAAGATATTAACGTCTCTCGTCCCACCCACCAAGTGCCAGTAGGGTCAGCGGGCATTGAGACAGCCAGGAGCACCCTCACTGGCTTTTAAAATGTCCCCGTGAGGGCAACTCTACCCAGCAGAGAGCCACTGGATGAGACACTCTCTAAGGGTCCCCACTTCCACACGTGTCACTAATGGGGCTTCACCCCACCTGTGCCCTTTCTTCCAGAAGATGCCCGGTCCACTGGGATGCCGCCTCGGTCCCGGTGGCGCAGCGAGCAGGAACACACCCTGCATGAGTCGTGGAACTCCCTCAGCGCCTTTGACCGCTCCCACCGGGGACGCATCTCTGGCCTGGAGTTCCAGGGGGACATCCTGGACGAGTTCCTGCAGCAGCAGAAGAGCAGCCGGCACAGCAGCCAGCCACCACCCCGCAAGGAGGAGGAGCAAGGGCCCAGGAGAGGGCAGGCTGACTGCTCCATAGACACAGACGAGGGGAGCGACTTTAAAATCCCTGTCCTGCCTTATGGGCAGCACTTAGTAATTGACATCAAGTCTACGTGGGGGGACAGGCACTATGTTGGCCTGAATGGAATAGAAATATTCAGTTCCAAGGGAGAGCCCGTGCAAATTGCAAACATCCAAGCAGACCCCCCTGACATCAATATTTTACCAGCTTACGGGAAGGACCCCCGTGTGGTCACCAACCTCATCGATGGGGTGAATAGGACCCAGGATGACATGCACGTCTGGCTGGCCCCCTTCACACTGGGCAAGTCCCACTTCATCTCCGTCGACTTCATGCACCCTTGCCACGTCGCCCTAATCAGGATTTGGAATTACAACAAATCACGGATACACTCCTTCCGCGGTGTGAAGGACATTGAGATCCTGTTAGACACACAGTGCATCTTTAAAGGAGAAATTGCCAAGGCCTCTGGAACCCTGACAGGAGGTACAGTATGTCTGTGAGAATGTTTTCAAAGCCCCTCCCTGCTACCCGCTGAGGCTCTGAGGAAAAACAAAACCCACGGGCTAACCAGGGATAGGCCTCTCCCCTTTCATAGACCTGGCCCGCTCTTCACCTTTGCAGCGTGGGTGTGCAAGAGCTGCCCTCATTTCGATTGCTTGGCTGGGGACTGGCCTGAGCCTGACCAGAGGATTCTTCTGCAAGGCACTGACTGAGGGAGTGCTCTCGGGAGAACCCACAGTGCGGGGGGCAGGGGTGCAGGATATGGGAGCGGAGCGGAGAAGCTGAGCAAGGGTGTAGTTTCAGGGGAAGCGCAGCCTCAGCCTGACCCGAGGTGAGCTCTGGAGCATAACTTGCAGGATCCGTCCCGCTTTAAGGCAAAGTGGCAGGGATTTGGAGCCCTACAGGCTCCCCGGATAGGGGGCATAACTCCCATGTCCTTTCAGGTAAGACTCCAGCCCCTCCACCCCAAGGTCAGCGGGGATCTATGTGGGGCACCAGTAGCAGCTGCTTCAGTGCCTCACCCACACTTTGTTTCAGACCCGTCACAGTGATTCTCATCAGATTAGGTCCCTTCATTAGACCTATGTGGTTCTTACGGTATGTGAATTCCATTTGCCAATATGTGAGAAATAACATCTCTCTACACAGAGAAACGTTAGTGGTTTTATAGCACAAAGGTTGATCTACAAATCATTGGCATTTAGGGTGAGTTGTCCCTTGTTTTCCTAATAACCCGTTCAGCTCCAGAGCACTTTGGAGACACGATACTATTCACGACTGACGACGACATTCTTGAAGCCATATTCTGTTCGGATGAGACGTTTGACGTGGACGTGGAGAGCCTCTGCAGCCTGCAGTGCGAGGAGGCTCTGAGGAGGCCCAGCACTGCCGACGGCGATGGGGAGGAGAGGCCCTACACCCAGGCCGGCCTGTGGGCCGGGGGCCAGGTAGGACCGGGGACGGGCAGGGGTGGGATGGAGGGGCGACGGAGGCCCGCGAGAGATTTCTCCCAACTTAGAGCAGAGCAGGGAGAATGAAGATGGATCTCCTTTATGCTGCTGGTGCTACTGTTTTGACATTTCCCATTTTTCTACTTCATTTCTGGTCCTGTGTGTCATATTTCATTCACTAATGATATTTATTTATTTATTTATTTTTTCACGGAAGTGGAGAAAGTACTCAGATTTTAATCAAAGCTAGGAGAAATCCATTCTGTGTTATCTCTGTGACTTAGAGGTGACAGTCTTTGGGAAACTTTTGCTTTGAATTGCATTTTGATCTCTCACTGTTGTTTTTGATGGGGGGACTGGATATGGTTTTAATAGGCAGAACTAGAATTAAAATAATGACAGTCCCAGCGGCCATTTCTTGCTTGCGACTTGTGGCCTAGCCCCCTGTGTCCCTCCTGGCAACCCTTGGAGTGGAGGTGGTTAGTATCCCCATTTAGGAAACCAGGGTTCAGACAGGCTAAGTGACTTGCCCAAGGGCATGTAGTGGGAGAGTAGCAAGGCTTGAGCTTAAATGCTGGATTCCAAAGTCTGTGCTTTTAGTTGCTAAACAGTTTTTTTAAGTGAAAGATGCTTTTAACCTTCAGGGCAAGACTCAGTCCAAGTCAAAGAGCAATAATGAAGGTGAAGAGACCACCAGGTCTCCACGATGTTCTTGAGGCCATAAGGAGAAAGGGTGGCAAAGGGGAAGGGGAATGGCTAGAGGCCAGAGGGCACCTCTTCAGCCACCGGAAGGTCAGGACCAAGGCGGAGCGGCGAAACAGTCTGTTGGTTCTTGGTGTTCACTGGGGTGAGGCCCTCCCACTTCTCAAGAAAGCAGCTGTCTCTCCAGCCAGATTGGAGCTGCTGGCTCATGTTGACAATTTTTCTTATTTTTCCAGATGAAGCCATATAGCTGGATTTTTATGCAAAAATATCCCAATTAAAAATTGTTAGCGCCTAATTCAAAATGTTTTCAAACCTTCTGTGTGCTACTGTACACGTGTGTTGTCTGGATTTGATCTGTGGGTCTCAGCTGGAAGTTGACCTTGAGGCCTTTCATTTGTCCATCGTTTTCCCAAGGGTGAAGTCCCTACTATGGGACTCTGATAAGATCAAAGGCTGGGAGGGGCAGGGAGGGACCGCTCTGTCTTGAGGAGGAACCTGAACTCTGGGGACAGCACTGTCAACATCCTGCGCACAGCCCTAGAGCGAGGCGGGCTGCACCCCACCTTCTGGGTGTGTTAACATCCTAGGAGGGTAGAGGCTCAGGGAGAGCAAGAGAAGTCACATGGGCACCAAGGCAGTGACATTCGCTGGTGGCTTCAGGCTGCCCAGTGTCAGGGGTGCTTCTGGCAGGCCGCCTTCCCCACCCTCCTCCGCGTAGCTGGACAGGGGTCCGGAGGGGTTGCTCCTCGGGGCTTAACCCTCGAGTTCATCAGGCTGTCATTGGGACTGAAACACCATCTGCATCAAAACTCTGCGATCCGGACTTCACTTCTTTTTGCATCTGAGCTTTCTTGTCTGTGAAGTAGTGAAGGCACTTTTACCCTAACTTATGATGCAGAAATCTAACGAGCAAAGTGTATACATGAGACCCAAGGAGTAGGGTGTGGCAGCCCACCTGGGCAATCTACAGACCAAGGGTTCTTTACCCTGGCTGCACACGGGAATAACCCGGGAGCTTTAAAAATGCACGTGCCTGGGCCCCAGGGTTGAGAACCACTCTCTATAGCTTAAGTCCTCCCCTCCCTCTTCCCTTCCCATGTTCCTTCCTCGCTCCGTTCCACTAGCTGACTAGATAAACATTTTCGACGTCCTTTCCTGTCCCAGAAAATCTCACCGTAGCTGGTAGTGTCAAACTCCTCCTCTACCAATAAGGGCTTCTGTCAAGGACTCAGACACACAAAGATTTCGGGCCTGTTCATATTACCAGTCACAGAGCTTCGACAAAGATAGAAAACACAAGAAATTAGTCAGGAACTTACCTGGGGCATGAAGTGGGCAGCAGTAGCTGGAAAAATTGCTAGCTAGCTTTGTGGGTGTCCCTCAAATCACGCTCTTTCCTTTGCTTCTCCCCTACCTGGTGTGCAGGTTCCGGAACTAGAGCTGCCATCCAGTGCCCCTGCCCCTGAAGTCACCACTCCAGAACCGGGCATCTACCACGGGATCTGTGAGTACCCTGTCCTGGGGCAGTGTCATGGGGAAGGAGGCCCTTCAGGGGTCGGGGGAAGTCCTGGTCACTCGGGACAGGTCTCCTTGGACAGTTGGACAGGTTGTCCACTTCACAGAGATGTAGGCCGCGGGCGAGTGGGGGCTGAAACCAGCACGAGCAAAGAAGACCTGCGTTCTCCCTGTCCAGGTGGGGCAGGTGCCAGGTCTTCTGAGGAGTTGGAAATTTGGATTTTTATGTGAAATCTTCAGCTTTTTAAACGTTGATGACTAATTTTATAGTATTTTTAAACACCCCAAAAGCCAAACAAAACTCATATGTATTCGGCCAGCTGGCTGCCAGTCTGGGTTTCGCTGTGTCTGTCCTTCCCTCATCTTTCCCCATGTGGCCTTGCAGCCACCCCTCTCTTCCTCCTCGCGTGCACAGGCCAGCCCCTCTGCCTGCGTCCTGGGAATCTTCAGGCCAGAGGTGGCAGCTGAGTGGGGTCTCCTCCCTCCTGTTCCCTGTTAACAAGGCTCTGTGGCTCACTTGCTCCTTGTAGCTTTGCCTCCTGCTCTTTCTTGCCCCTGTGCGTGTCATTCTTTCCAGTTACCTTCTGACAACAAGAGGCGTGCTGTGCCCGTGCCCTACTCCCTCTCCCCTCCTCCCCGCCATCAGCTCCCGGAGGAAGCCGGAACATCTCCGTTCAGCCTGTCTTCCTCCCCAAACCCATCTCCTGAGCCCACTGGTCTTCTCCGTCCCTGGCTGTTGAAGGCCGACTATAACTGATCGGGTTCCCAGGAAGTGGACTTTGAGATGGAGTTTACTGAGGCATGTTCCTGGGGGAGGACAGGAAGCAGGACTGCGCCGAGGGAGCAGGTGGGCCACCGTTCACTCTCATCAGGGAGCTCTGGAGCTGTGGCAGCCCCTCGGAGTTGTCCTGAGTTGAGTGAGGGGACGAGGCTTTTTATATGCCTAGAGCAACATGTCACTGGATATGGGCTGCCCCTGGGGAGGGGCAAGGCCAAGGGCAGTGGTAAGTGGGGATAACTCAGCCGCGAGCTGTCAGCGGTCAGCACTCCCAGCCACCGGAGGCACGAGTCCTTCCGGCCTGGGGGTGGGAGGTGGGGCCCACGCAGTGTCCCAGTGTCCACCATATGCCCTTCTTAGGACCCTGCTGCAGCTCATCTCCGCAGCGTGTCGCCCCCAGTGCTCCCAGGGGGCACTCACCCACAAAGACCAAATTACCTCTTAGAAAAGTCCAAGACGTCTTACTTTGAGTCCTTGCAGCCCTTATATTCCAGGACACTCTCAGTGACATTAGGACAACAGAGTAACTTAAAAAACCAAGCGCGTGCAGGCAGGGGCCTGGTGTGAGGCTTGGCTTCGTCGCCTTTTCAGCCACTCTGCCGGGGCTTCCCCTGCCTTACCCCACGGGACATTCATAGTTCTTATTCTCTCCACTTTCTAGATTAGCTTAGGAAACGGAGGCTCAAAGAGAGTGAATCAGCCTCCTGGGTCACACGCCTGGTACTAAGGCCAAGAATGGAACCAAGCATCTAAACTCAAAGCCCTTGTCCTCACCACTAAACACACGGCCTCAGAGCTCTCGCCGAGCAGCTGCCTTACAGCGGCGGCCTCTGTGAGGCGTCCGGGTCCCCACAGAACTGTGGGGTCATGTCTCAGCTGGTCTCCCCAAGTGGTCACAATTCTTCTTCTTCCTCTCCTCTTCCTCCTCCTCCTCCCACTTCTTCTTCTTGAGGGACAATGGAAATTGAATTCAAACGGAGCTAAACAAAAAAAAGGGAATTTATTGGCTTATGCAACTAAAAAGATTGCCGGTTGCTAGTTTCCCATATAGCTGGCACCAGGTGTGCAAATGATGTCATCGAGACTTGGCATCTCCCTTCATCTCTGCCCTGTTTGCTCTCTCTTGCCCTTCTCATTTAGACTCTGTTCAGACTCTGTTTACGTGGGAGCTCCTACAAGCTCTGGGTTCAAATTCACCTTCCGCCCGGCAATCACAACTGAAAGAGAACTTCTGTTTCCTGGAAAGTTCAACAATCATCGTACAATTATGGCCCCTCAGCATGGCTTGGATCACATGCCGAAACATCCTAAACCGATCACCATGGCTCACCAGGACTGGGAGGGAGAGGGAGGTACGAGATGGAAAACACGCACTGGCCAGGCCTGGCTCAAGGGCCCATCCCTGGAGCCAGTGGTGAGGTCAGCCACCAAACAGTGCTCTAGAGGAGGTCAGAGTGCAGTAACGAGGACACGGAAGGAGGGCCAGCTGGCTGGCCAGAAGCAGCCACTGTCCCCTTCATCTGATGATTTCCCTAAAGATGCTGTGTGTAAATGTCTTTCCCACTGAGCCAGCTTCTGACCTTTCTCAGAAATGTGATTTCAATGCCTTTGGGAGCTCTGCCTTGGAGTAGAGCTCAGAGACCTTTTTTGCTGCAAGAAAAGTGTAATTTCTCTGCTCTTTACTCAGTAGGGAGGCAGAAGAAACCCTTGGCGAAGCCCACTCTGCATGTCTGAAGCCTCTTATTTCTGAATCTGTCTTCTCTGATCCTTGGGCTTTTTCCTCACTCTATCCAAAATCCTAGACCCCCTGAACCAGCCTGTGCAAATGGAGAGCGTTGGTGACGTGACCCAGGGGATGTGTTGGGCTTAGTAAATATGGCCAATCCTGTTAATGTTTAATATATGACTTGCTAATTTGAAGATGACACTCATTTTGGACGTTTTGCAAATATCAGCAGTGATGAATAGTAAAGGAGCTGAGGAGAGTGGAAACATGGATGAGAAATAACAAAATTAATTTTCATGTATGTAAATACTAATTGATACACCAGAGGAAAATGAATATGGAGCGTGGATATTAGCTCAAACAGGAGAGCGGTTGTTTTCAGGGCAGCCCCGTGTTAGATGGCCTGGCAGAGCATCTTGCCAGGCAAACAGGGACTGCGGGCTTGGGAGAGTTGGGATGGCATGTCTTGTTTTCCCAGGGGGAGCTGGCATTTCTCCCTGATACCGCCCCCCCGCAGCACCCAATCTGCTCCCTCCTCCCCCTCTAGGCCTTCTCCATCTCAGGAGCGATACCCACTCCATACAAGCCGGTGAGGATCCTGGCAATGCTGTCTCCAAAACAGACCCTGAAGCAGTACCCCCCTCCCCTGTTGTCACCACTTAACCACCGCTTTCCAGGCCCTCAGTCCTACGGCAGCCTCCTCCCTGGTCTCCCTAGCATAGAGTCCAGCTGAAGAAAATGCTGAATAATGGCATACTCCCTCTCCTCACCCAGGTCTCAGCTTGAACGTCACCCCCTCAGACAAGGCCTCCCTGACCGCCCCCACTGCTACTCAGTCACTTCCTACCACCTGTCTTATTTTTTCATGGTATTCCTCACTCTGGGGAGCTATCAGATTTACCTGTTTGTTAAGTGTTTGTTGTGTGTCAGCACTGCAATAGAGCCTCCTGGAGAGATTTTACTATGTGTTTAAAGAGAAAAAAGTCTTTATTGACTGTGTATTTTTCAGATACTTTCCTAGGCTCTGGGGATACAACAGTGAACAAAGTCAACAGAGTTCCTGCTCACAGGGAGCTTCCATCTTAGTGGGAAGACTGATAAAAACAAATAAGCAAGCATATGTAGACTATATTGTCAGGTGGTAGTAAGTACTGTGACAAAGAATAAAGCAAGGTTTAGAGAATGATGGGGCATGGTGCTATTTGAGCTCAGGTGGGTAGGGAAGGCCTCTCTGAGGAGATATTTGTGTGGGTTTTTTTGGTCATTGTTTTTTATTGATTATAAAAATTGTTCCAATATTTATAGTTGTTCTGATTTTTCCTCCTTTGCCCCCCTCCCCCCAGCACTCCCTACTCCTCAGGCCATCCCCACACCATTGTTCATGTCCATAGGTCATGCATATAAGCCCTTTGGCTACTCCATTTCCAACACTGTACTTTACATCCCCATGGCTCTTCTGTAACTACCTGTTCATAGTTCTTAATCCTCTCTCCTCTTCACCCATTCTCCCACATCCCATCCCCTCTGACAACCATCAAAATGCTCCCTGTATCTGTGATTCTGTCTCTGTTCTTGTTTCTTAATTTGTTCTTTAGATTCAATTGTTCATAGATATGTATCTATTGCCATTTTATTGTTCATAGTTTTGATCTTTTTATTAAATAAGTTCCTTTAACATTTCATATAATAATGGTTTGGTGATGATGAACTCCTTCAGTTTTCTCTTCTTTGGGAAGCTCTTTATTTGCAGTTTGATTCTAAATGATAGCTTTTCTGGGTAGAGCAATCTAGGCTGTAGGTCCCTGCTTTTCATGACTTTGAATATTTCTTGCCAATCTCTTCTAGCCTGCAAAGTTTCTTTTGAGAAATCAGCTGACAGTCTTATGGGAACTCCCCTGTAGGTAATAAACTGCTTGTCTCCTGCTGCTTTTAAGATTCTCTCTTTATCTTTAACCTTTGGCATTTTAATGAAGATGTGTCTTACAGTGGGCCTCTTTGCTTCCATCTTGTTTGGGACTCTCTGTGCTTCCTGGACTTGCATGCCTATTTCCTTCGCCAAGTTAGGGAAGTTTTCTTTCATTATCTTTTAAAATAGATTTACAATTTCCTACTCTTTCTCTTCTCCTTCCAGCATCCCTGTGAGGCAAATGTTAGACCTCTTGAAGTTGTCCCAGAAGCTGCTTATATTTCTTAATTATTTTGGATTCCTTTTTCTTGTTGTTTTCATTGGTTGTTTTTTTGCTTCCTTATGTTCCAAATCAATTATTTGATTCTCAGCTTCATCCACTCTACTGTTGTTTCCCTGGAAATTGTTCTTTATTTCAATTAGTGTATCCCTCATTACTGACTGGATCTTTTTTATGCTGTTGAGGTCCTCACTAAGTTCCTTGAGCATCCTTATAAATAGTGTTTTGAACTCTGCATCTGATAAATTGCTTATCTCCACTTTGTTTAGTTTTTTTCCTGGAGTTTTGATCTGTTCTTTCATTTGAGCCATGTTTCTTTGTCCCCTCATTTTGGTAGCCTCCCTGTGTTTGTTTCTATGTATTAGGTAGAGCTGCTTTGACTCTGTGTCTTTGGTAGTGTGGCTTAATGTAGTGGATGCCCTAGAGGGTCCAGTGGCACAGCCTCCCTGTATCACCCAAGATGGGTACCTGAGGTGCACCCTTCGTGTGGGCTGAGGATACCCTCTTGTAGTTGAGCCTTGGTTGCTGTTGGCAGGTCAATGGGAAGGAGTTACCCAGGCCAGTTAGCTGCAAGGGCTGGCTGTGACCACTGACCACCAGCCTCCGCCCTCCATGGAGGATCGGCTGTGCGGGGGCAAGGTGGTGGTGCTCTGATGTGGTCTGTAGCTGTCCACTGGGTGCACTGGCCCGGGGGTTTCCTCGGTGGTACATGCCGAGGTCAACCCCTACCTGTGTTCTGCCCAGGGCCACCTCGCATAATTTATAAAGCAATTTGAGGTGGCTGCTACTTGTGCTGGACTTGGTGATTCCCAAGCAAAACCAAGCTGTGAATCTAGGCCAGCAGCTGCTAGTGCTGGGCCAGGGGCCACTTAGCAAGATGTACAGGGACTGGGGGCTCACTAAGGCCTGCTGCTCTCTGTTTGAGAGGATTTAGGAAGTTGTGAAGCATGAGCCAAGACTAGCCATTCATATGGAAAAAGTCATTGTTAACAGGTCGGGTGGGCCAGTAAGTTGGGTGGGATGGAGTCTCAGGGGATTGCCAGGGCAGGGTAAACAGTGTTAGCCAGGTTGATGGAGACTCAGATATGGCACCTGACTTCTAGCTCTGTGGCTCTGTTGGGGGAGGGTTCAGAAAGGGGACAATAGCCTCTGCCCCTCCTTTTTTTCTGGAAGAAAGCTGTCCCCCAGCCCTCACATTGATGCCAGACACTTCAGTTTTTCCCTGTATTCTTCTGGTGCCTTTGAAGCTGCTACCTTGGTGCTGGAGCTCAGCGGTAGTGAGTCTGAGTAAGTCCGTGTGTGGGTTCTTTGGAGGAACTGTTTGGAACTCCAGAAGTTTCTTCCACCAACTCAATCCCCACTGGTTTTTGCAGCCAGGAGTATGGGGATTTATCTTCCTGGCACGGGAACCCTGGGCTGGGGGGCCTGGTGGGGGTGTGGGACTCCTCACTCCTGAGATATCCCTCCTGAATTTTTATCCATCAGCCCTTTCAGCATCTCTGCCCCTCATACCAGTCTGGATGAATGTGATTTCTTTAATTCCATAGTTGTCAGACTTCCATTTAACTCTATTTCTTATGCTTCTGGGTGATGGTTGTTCTTATAGTTTAGTTGTAATTTTGATGTGGTTGTGCAAGGAGGTGAGCCATGTTTACCTATGCTGCCATCTTGACTGGAAGTCTCCTGGAGAAGACATATGAGCACAGACTCATGATGAGAAGTGTATCAGTTAGCTTTTGCTGAACAAACTAACCTACACTTTAGTGGCCTAATGCAGCCACCATTCATGATTGGCTTGTAATTCAGGGGTTTGGCTGGACAGCTCTCATCTGAGCTGGCTTGTTGGCATCTGCTGGGCCTGCTCATGGGCTGGTTAGCTGGCACGTGGGACGGCAGCTAACTGATCTAGGATGCTTTCCTATCTGGTAGTTGGGAGGCTGTTGGCCAGAGTGATGGGGTCCCTGGGCTCACCTGTCTCTTTCATGTGGCAGGCTTCAAGTGTGGCGAGAGAGGACAAGTCCCAGTGCACATTCCCTTGTAGCCTCTGCTTGCAGTATCTTTGTTTCTGTCCCATGTGGCCCACAAACAAACCTTGTGGCCCAGATTCAAGGAATGAAGAAATAGTTGTCACTTCTGCATGGGAGAGTGGCAGAGTCACCTTGCAAACAGATGGGGACTGGGTTGGAGGAATTTTTGGCCATTTTGCATGCTACCAGTGCAGTGAGAAGCTATCATGTTCCTAGTACCATGCTGGTCACACGTCTATTTTCTTCTGACCCCAAGATGCTCAGAGTTACCTTGGCACCGTGGCGAGTAGAAGGAGCTGAGGCTGAGTTACAGAACATGTTGGAAATGACAGGGGCATAGGAGAGGAAGCAGAGCCCCAGGGAGGTGGTGTGGCTTGGCCTCCCTTGGCCTCACAAGGATGTTTGGAGACCTCCCTGGGCCTCCACCTCCTCAGCTAAGCTGAGATGAGTGGGACCACGTGATAGCTAGGCTTTTCTTCTTCTAGTGCTACAGTGCTGGCACTCTGTGAAAGGTGCAAAGAGCATGAATATTGTGGACACAGCCACCCAAAAAGGAGCTAATATAGGCTTCAAGTTCCCCAAGGGTGGAAAGGTTCATTGGGCTTGGTCTTGCTCTAATATGAGACCATTAAGTAGGAAAAATTCTAGCCAGATATCTGACAGAGCCTGACCAAGGGGTTTGGCTCATTTGGTTTGAGCTTTCTGGGCAAGTGGAGGACTCACCTGGTCCATTTTTCCACTGGCCCACAGATGACTTCTAAGTGGTCTTTAATGGAACAGGGTGGGGCAAGGGCAAAAGGATGGAAATGTCACCTAAGGCCACTTCCTTTATTACAAATCCATGCAACTCCTCAATAGTAGTCCAATTTGCATAAAATATCCATTTCTAGTCTTGTGGCTTAATGATATAGTTGCCTTCATTTAGTTACTTGTTTAATCATTCTCTCTATACTGAACTCCCCCTATGTGCTAGGCACTGTGGCAGGCTTTGGGGAGTTAACCATCTGGCCTTGGTTGCTGTTGGCAGGTCAATGGGAGGGATTAACCAAATGACCACAGGATAACAGTGGTGACCAGGACGTGGGAGGGTAAGCTCTCAGTGACACAGCGAACTATGAATGAGGTTTGATGTGGTCAAAGAAGTTGGGCGGGCTTCCCTGGGGAAGTGAGCTGGGCTCTGAAGGATGAGCACAAAGTAAGCAGGCCATGTGTCAGGAGAGAAGAATGTAAGTGAATGACTGAATGACAGTCTTAGTGGAGCCAGGAACCCCTGGTACACGATGAGGTTAGAGAAATAGAGGCCAGACGGGCAAGGCCTGTTGGCCAAGCATCATGGGAAGCCACTTTAGGATGTTAAACGTCAAGTGGGTGACATGAGCCATAGGTAGAGAATGGGTCCAGGGCTGTGTTCAGGTTTAAACTCTGGTCCATTCATCCTGCTAACATTTCCTAAGGATCAGCAGTGTCCCAGGCCCAAGGGCCAGTGAGGAGAGGTGCACAGCCCAGCCTGAAGGCATTCATTCATGTCTGGGTTTTCAAGCTGGCTGAACGCAGATGCTAAAGATGACTCCTCTTCTCTTCTCCATCTTAGGACCCTCCTCTGGAACCTCAGGTGTTCATGGGCCACTTTTCTTCCTGTTGCAGGCCTTCAGCTGAATTTTACAGCCTCCTGGGGGGACCTGCACTACCTGGGACTCACAGGCCTGGAAGTGGTGGGCAAGGACGGCCAGGCACTGCCCATCAAGCTGCGCCAGATCTCCGCCTCCCCCAAAGACTTAAATGACCTCCCCGAGTACACGGATGACTCCCGGACCCTGGACAAGTAGGTCTCAGTAAGAAGCCTAACTCCCATGACAGCAGGGGCTCAGGGAACTGTTCTGCATCTTAGACTTTAGATTCAAACATCAAATAGCAGCCCCTGCTCCACCTTCTCCCAGCCACCCTACGAGATCTGTGTATCCTATTTTATAGTCAAGGAAAGCCAAGGCTCAGGAAGGGAGGCGACCCTCCCAGACCACACAGCTGGAAGTGGCAGGCAGGGTTTGAAGCCAGGTTTTCCTGCTTCCAGACAGAGTTGTGCTTCATGCCTTCACCATGCTTAGCTTTGGGCCTTGAGCACAGTGACTGCTCAGTAAGCTTTTGCAGGGATGGCTACGAGTTTAAACACGAGAGACCTCGTCTGTCAAGGACAGAAAGCTTTCTCCTCCACGAGACTGAAGGTGATCACTGAGGAAGTCTCCACACTTTCCTCTGCATGTGTCAGATTTCGTGAACCCAGGTTGGGTCAAGTCAATGAGAGGATAAGCCTGAAATATAGCATCAAGCAGCACCAAGCCCCCTCAGGACGGCCGTCCTGCCTGGCTCTGCCTGCACGTGTGAATAAGAGGAATCTAGGGGATTCAGAGGGATAAGAGTTCAACTCCTGGCTTTGCCCCTTGACAGCTAGTAAATTTCTTAATTTCTTCAGTAATAATAATAATAACTGAAATTATAGTTGCCGTTTATTTGAGCAATTGTTAAATGCCACATACTAGACTATGCTAAGCAGGTTACAGATATTCATCCATTTAATAACATGATTGATAGGCGCCCACGTAAACTGAGGTAGACAGAGGTTAAAAATGGGCCAAAGGTCACTCACACTTGCTGAGTAGCAGAGTCGTGATTAGAATGCATGTCATGGGGGAACAGTACCCATGCACTTCACCACTGAGTTATACTGTCTTCTGCCTTGATTTCCTTATCAGTAGAGTGGGGACAATAAGTGCCATGGCTGGAGGGTGGGAAGAGGATCACGACATCACAGCTGCACCCCTGCCTGGCCCAGAGCATGTGAGGGGTCAGTGGAACACCCATCCCTGCTCCTATAAGGTACCCCTTAACCGTGACCCTCATGTCCTGCTGTCATTGTCCACCCTGGGGACACTCTGTGCTCTGCATTTTAGCAAGTCACATGCCTGAGTATGTAGACTTGGAGCCCGTGGACCACTCTGCTTGTTCACCCACACCCACCCGTGTGCTGCCCCTCTGCCCAGATTATATTGCAGCAAATCCCTGGCCTAAAAGGATTTTCTCTCTAAATATTTCAGTATCTGTCTCTAAACAATGAGGACTTTAAGAAGAAAACATAATCTCAGCACTACTATTATACCTAAAAAAATTAACAATCATTTCTTAAATTACTAGATATCCAACATGTTCCTGTTTTCCTGAGAATGTTTTTTAATAGTATGTTTCTTGATTTGATACCCAAATAAGGTCCATACATTGTGATTGGTTGATATGTCTTCTTTCATTTTTTTTTCCTAATAAATTATCTTTTGAAGAAAGTATTCCCCCCCCCCCCCCATAGAGTCTGGATTTTACTGGTTTCATCTCTATGGTATTGTTTAACCTTCTCCTTGGGCCCCTGTATTTCTTATAAATTGTTCCCTAAATCTTGAGGCCTGATCAGATTGAGGTTTGATTGTTGGGGCAAAACGTGACCATCGGGGCACAGATGTTATTGTTTATTTCTTTCAGGGGTTGCCAGGCTTTTTGTGATGTTGGTGACCAGAGCTCAATGGTTAAATCAATTAATTTATTAGGGGTTGCAAACTGGCAATATAGTATCTTATTGTTGTTTTCTTCATCAATAAAGAGAATTTTCCTTCAGTTATTTGGTTACTCGGAGATACAACTTAAATAGGAAAGGCCATCTAAATGCTTGATTTCTTCCCCAGGGCACTGTGGCTGGAACATCATCCCATAAGCTGAAAGTTTGCAGGTTTGGTTCCTGGCCAGGGCATATGCCTAGGTTGTGGGTTCCATCCCCAGTTGGAGTGGGTGTGAGAGGCAACGAGTTGCTGTTTCTCTCTCACATTTATGTTTCTCTCCTTCTGTTTCTTCCTCCCTTCCCTACTCTCTAAAGTCAAAAAGCATGTGTTTGGGTGAGAATAATAAATAAATAAAAATAAATAGAAAGGAGTCAGCTGAACTACATAACCCTAAAAAAGACCCAACTCCTTTATTAAATAAATAAATAAACAAACAAACAAATAAATAAATAAAACAAGCTTGATTTCTGCCCTTTATTTTTCAGTTTTCAAAATAACAAATTGGTCCTCCAGCATCCTTTAAAATGTTTGGTTATTTTTGACTATCAAATGGATTTAAGTATACTGTGTTTGAGGGATTTCAGTCTATCATACTTTTTATCTTGTTGATGCTTGAATTGATGCTCTTAGACACTGAGAACTCCTGAAAGACTGTCTCTGACAGTTTCCCTGCTCTATGACATGACAAGATATTCCAGGCTTATTTTACATCTTTTTAAAAAATTCTTTTATTATGTAAGTTTCAAGTGTACTCATCTTATGTATTTCTTGTCCCAGACATGGGCTCAGCCATTTTGCCACAAAGCTGTGGTTGCTTCTAGTGGGAAATGGTATTTAGAGACCATAATCTAGCCACTAGGGATGCTAATTGCTATTGGGTTGGTCACTGTTTCAAAGCATTTTCGTGGACCAAGCTAAGAGGTATCATTTGGATATTCTTGAGGGTGTCTATAGGAACCTCCCTTCACCCATCAGCTATAAACACTTCAACAATTCTCTCTCCTCTCAGCACTGGAAAACAGTTTTGCTATGGAGGCAGCCACAGTTCTGGGAAAGAGAGGTAATTGCTTTCGGAAGGAAATAGATGGTTCTCTAGTCGTAGTCCTCAGTCAGCTTAATTCTACAAACACCCGAGTGTTAAATTGCTGAATTTCCTCAGTTTTAAGATGCCAGAAATTGTAAGACACATCATCCATCAATTTAATGACAGCCTTTTAGAGAAAATAAAAAGAAACATTACCTCCTTGGATGAACAGTTAGATTATAAGATTTATTCCAAATCTAAAAATTTAAAATGTAAAAGAAAAAAATAAAGTTATTTTAAAATACAGGAAACATGGCAGCAGCCTGAGTCTCTCCCAGTGCAGCAGCTTCAAGTCACCAGGAAAACAGGAGAGAGGAAGGAGGGCATTGTCCAAGAGGCAAGAGTAAGACCCCTGTCCCCAGGCCTCTCAGAGGCAATGCCAGACCCATGGGCTAGAACTACCGCATAAGGGTTGGAGTCCGGGCTGAGGTGTGCTGGGCAGCCCAGGGAAGTCAGCAGCAGTAGTTTGGGGGACATGCATGGGCAGAGTTGAGGAGGATGAGGCAGGGTATCCTGAGCAGAAGAACCAGAAACTGGCCAGGATGGAAGTGCAACATGAGCAAGATGCCCAGTTCAGAACAGGGGCTGAGAAGCACACGAGGGTGCTGGGGCTCCCTGCTCATGTGGGACCCTCCCTGAGGTACTGGGCTGTGTGCTTCCAGCTCCCCAGGCCACCTGCCCCCCAACCCCGCCTTGTACCTGTCCCATGCCAGGAGCTGCCAAGGTCACTCTGGTGCTTTAGAATCTCTCTCCCAGCACAACAAAGAAGGGATAGAATTCCTTCAAGTTGTACCAATAGAGTCAATATAGCATTTTACAGAAAGTCTGAAAAATAGAGAAAATATCCACCTTCCCCCCTCCCCCCGCCCCCTGCCCAACACACTATAATTTGTACTTTTGCATAGTCTCTCCTGGTCTTTGCCTTCATTTTACAGTGTTAAGATGAGGGCATCTGCCTTTCCCTGTTACTACATCATCCTCATGGTGGTCATTTTAACAACTGTCCAGGCTGACTTAACCTTTTCCCTATTTTGAGGCCTCTTATGATACCCTTTTTTTCCTGATATAAATAATAAGACCATAATGAAATAATAAGACCAGTTTCCTGTCTTTCCAACATGTTGACTGGATTTTCCGTAAGGGAACATTTTTAGAAATGGGCTGACTGGGTTAAAGGGTCCTGAAAAATGACACACCTCCTCCCTTTAAAAATAAACGTGCTTCACCGCCCCTTAAACAGCATAGGCTGTTATTTTTCTTCCTGTTTTATTTTGTCTCATTTCACAGATGAGAGGTGGCCCTTCACTGTTGCTTTAATTAGTCTCACCTCCCTTAATTCACCCCCATCCCGCCAGGCTCCTGCTGGGCAGGGGCCGCAGTGAGAGATGAGTAGGTGCAGTGCTCTGTCCCTGCGGACTGGGCCACCGCCACCTCACCGCTCCTTCCCCGCTGTGTGCAGGTTAATCGATGGAGCCAACATCACGATGGAGGATGAGCACATGTGGCTGATCCCCTTCTCGCCGGGGCTGGACCACGTGGTCACGATCCGCTTCGATAGAGCCGAAAGCATCGCAGGCCTGCGCTTCTGGAACTACAATAAATCTCCCGAGGACACCTATCGAGGGGTAAGGGGGGCCACAGTGGCCGTGCTCAGCCCACTGTCAAGGAAACGGGGCCTTGATGAATGGCTGGTGTGGCTGCCAGAGAGAAGCATAAATCCTCCAGAACTTTCCAAATGGCGATGGGGTTTACAGCCAAGGAGAGAGAGCGCTGCTGTTTCCTTCTTCTGCAAACAGCAAATGCAGGCTGAAGAGCCAGGCAGATTGGGAAACTGCAGCACCTTGTCTCTTCTGGGGGTTCTGGGGTCTTCAGGCCCAGACCTCAGCTCATGGTTGCTGTCCTGTTGTCCACTGAGTGCTTTGGGGCCAGGCCCTGGGCTAAGAGCTTCTCAGGAATTCATCATTTTATTGGACCAGTGTCCAGCCTCTGGGAGGCAGATATTATTACCCTCATCTTTCAGGGTATCAAAAGTGAGGTTCAGAAAGGTCTGGTCATTCATCAGGACCACAGAGCTAGAGCCCTAGATCATGTTTGCTGGGCTTGGAGCTCTGAGTCTCACACTGTGTTCTTCCTCTGCTGGGTCTGAAAAAGCAGGGGTTTCTGTTGGAATGTGGAAAAAAGCAGCAGAAGTGCCTCTCTTCATGGGCTTTTCTGACCCGTGTGACTATGAACCATGAAACATTGATCTCCTTCCACTAACCAGAAGTGACGATGATAAGGTCACCTAAAATATAGCAATGTAGTTAGGGCGCTGAAGTCAACAAGGCTGAGTCTGAATCTGTGCTCTGATCCTTACCAGCTGTGTGACCTTTGGAAAGTGGCCTGCTTTCCCTGGCCCTCAGTTTCCTGTCTATAAAATGACCAGGAGGATGATACCTGCCTCCGGAGGGTAGCCATCACCTTTGGCCGCACGAAAGTTGACCAATCCAGGAATTGGCCTCAGGGCCTGTGAGCCCAGGTCTGGGCACGTCACCACATAGTGTGCACCACAGTTCTTCTGCAGGACCCGCGGGGCCTCAAGTACTGTGGTGGTTTGCACAGTGGGTGGCAGCCCCCAGCCCACCAGGCGCTGTCCCTCCAGAGCAGCTACAAACCCTCCCCAGGCCGCTGTGTCTGTGTGAGTAGGCTCTCAGGTTCAGTACATTAAAAAGTCAATATATTGGTGTCGAAAAATAGCCTTATGCTTCAACTCATGTCTCTGGGTCTCTAGAGTGATTCTCTTGAGTGGATCAGTCTTTCCAGTTGACCTTTTGTGACCTGGATTCATGTCCTGGACATTGGGCCCCGAGCCTCTGCTTCCCAGTCTGGTCCTCACCGTCATCGGGGCCAGTGCCAAGCGGCCCCCAAGGGATGATGGAGATGGTCCCAATGGGAGAGGGCACGTCCTGGAGCACAGTGGTGGGAGCTCTGCCCCAAGACAATGAATCAGATGGCTACCCCCTAAGGCCCTACTGGGCACCCTGGGTGTGGGCCCTTGGCATGTGGTTAGAGCCAGGCCTTGGACTCCTGGAGAAGGGACTTCAAATCCCTCCAATGTCCTTGGGCAAATCGCTTAGCCTCTCTGAACTTTGGTTACCTATTAGATAGAGGTGATTAAAAAAAAGACCCGCCCCCCCCCACTCCCCCTTGCCCCAAGGGAATGAACAGTGGTCTGGGAAAGTCAGGGACAGTTCCTGGAGGAGATAGTGGCCCCAGGAGAGGGACAGGGGTGTCCTGGGCCTCTGCTCTGCTCTGTCGCCAGCTTCCCTTTCAGGTGGCTCTCTCCGCAGGACAAACCTGGCAGCTCTAGGCTTATGCAAGCTCCTAGACCAGCAGAAGAGAGAACTCCCCAGCAAAACCCAGGAGCCATGCTGCTCATTCTGGCCAGGTTCCATTAGGCTGAGCCTGTCATGTGACCGGTGGGGTAGAGTTCTCACTTTGGCCAGGTCCAGCCCTTGGTTCAGGGTAGGAATTAGGTTCGAAGAAAGCAGAGTGGAGGTACAATGACAGTATTTGGGCCCCTGTCTCCAGCCATGCCTGAAGCCAGTGACCCTATACTTTTCAGGCTTCTGTGCCCTGTGACTAACTGACTGACATGATAGGGGACTCCCTTAATGCAGAAGGAGCAAAGGGCTCCAGGAGCACAGGAATCACCCTCGAAACCCAGGGCCAGGCCCTTCCTCTCCGCACGGAGGAGCCCTCTGCATCGCCCAGAGGTGAAATTCCACCTGCCTGGTCAGCAGCGGGGCCCGTATTGCTAAGCATGAAGGTGGGGTAAGGTGCCAAGGAGACTTGATTCCAAAATGTGTGATTGGAGAGAGGGTGCTGGCTTATCACCCCCCACCCTCACTGAGAGGGGAGCCACCCTCACCCCCTGCCATTAAGGCTTTGAGATTTACTGCTGGATCCTGGCCATCTGGCTGGCGAAATCTGGCCTAGAACAGGGGACCTGTCAGCTCAGATCTAATCAATTCGGCAAACTCTTAGTAAGCATGTATTGCAGGCCAGGCCCTGGGGCAGATGCAGAGATGGTCCAGCTGGGGTCTCTGCCACCAAAGGAGACCCACAAACCACCCAGGACGCTGCGAGGAAGCATGGGCCCGGAAGGACGAGCTAAGAGCTCTGAGAGGGAGGAATGGCAGCGCAGGGGCTGGTGACGGCATGTGAGCCAGGGTTTAAGGGAGGGGCAGCGCAGTGCCTATTTTGTGCCAGGCGCTGTCTGTTCTGGACACTTTACGTACGGTAACTCATTTTTGAGCCCATTTAACAGCAGATGAGGACACTGAGGCATGGGAAGTTTAAGTAACTTGCACAACTACTAAAATGGATGTCAGCGCACCTGAGTCCATGCCCTTGACCGCCGTGTTGCACCGCCTCGGGCCACTGTGACCGAGTGGACTGCAGAATGTCTGTGCGCATCCACTGTGGCAGGGGCCTCACCTGCCTTGTCTCCCGCTGTCTGCCCAGCACCCAGTGCAGCGCCTGGCACAGAGTAGGGGTGACATTGGAAAGTGGACCTGGGTAGGCGGTTCTGGTCAGGGAGAAAGGCCATACCGAGCTATCGTTCAGGCTGTGGACGCTCTGTGTCCTACGTTGCAGCTGCCGGCAGCACCAGCCATGTTGGCACACACTGTCGTCCTCCATGCCGGCTTCTTTCCTCTGCCATGTTTTTTCTTTTGTTTGCTAGGCCAAAATCGTCCACGTCTCCCTGGACGGCCTGTGTGTCTCCCCTCCAGAGGGCTTTCTCATCCGGAAGGGGCCAGGCAACTGCCACTTTGATTTTGCTCAAGAAATCCTCTTTGTGGACTACCTACAAGCTCGACTCCTGCCCCAGCCGACCCAGAGGTGAGGGAACAGCACCGCAGGCATCCCTCCCTGTCTGCAGCGCTGGCTCTGTGCCTGCTCTAAAAGTGTCCACCCAAAGTGTTTTGAAACCGTGATCAAAGGCATCGCTTTTCAACTTAGCTGTTTCTAAAGCTCAGCCAGGCCTGTCTGGGAGCCTGTGGAATGTGCCCACCTTGTCTAGGTGTTTGGGGTGCTCACAGCCTGGAGTGCTTGAGATTTTAAATACTTCCTTATGCTTCCTGCTGGGAAAAGAGGATCCTGGCTGCCTGATTCCAGAAATGCCCCCCGGCTGGTTCAGGGGAGGGCCTTCCTTCTCCTGACTCTGTGTCCCTGATTCAGAAAGATGCAAAGAGAGAAATAGGGCCTAACATTTTATGGATTCACTGGCGTTTCTTGGCCCCACTCTCAGCTGCATTAAGTTTATAACAATTTGTAAATGTCACATTAAGGTCACTCATTTAAACCCCGATGTCCAAACGCCAGGGGCAAAGTTCTCGAAACAAAATGAGTTTTCCTTCCACTGTAGCTGGGATCACTTCTTGGGCTGGTCACAGGGAGCAGTCACTTAATTATAACATTGCCCTTGAAATGGAAGGAAACCAGGCGAGGCCTGGAGGGCGCTGGCTGCAGACCTGGGAGGGAAGCCCTGTGGGCAGGAATATGGGAAAAGAGGGAGCTCTCCCTCCAAAGCACCTGCTCCGTGCTAGACTCTTCATATTCATTCAAGTAGAGATTATGATGCCCTCTTTACAGATGTGGGAACTGAGGCCCCAGCTGGTGAAGCCACTTGCTCAGGATCAGGAAGCCAAAGCCTCAGGGTGCTCCCCACCTCCCAGCCTCCTCCTTCCGCCCTCCCCTCACCCCACCCCACACTCCAGCCCCTCGGGCTGCTTTCTGGCCAAATGACAACCTCCTCCCCAGCCCCCTTCCCCTTAACGGCCTTTGTTCTTGTTGCTCCTGTTCTTGGAAGGCTTGGCTCTGACTCTTCCCATAGCCTCGTCCTCCTCAGCTCAGACATCGCCTTCTCGCCCACGTCCAGCACGCCGCCCACCCTGTGTCTCGCTCAGCTCTCAGTGCAACACGGACTTTCGTTGTTCATAAAGGGGCAGTAGAGGGAGGGAGGTAGAGAGCTCTGGAACTGGACAACCTTGAATCACATCCCAGTTCTGCCTCCTACTAGCTGTGTGACCTTGAGCAAGTGATTTCACTTGTCTGTGCTCTGCTTTCCTCCTTCATGACCTGGGGATATAAGAGTGCCAACTACTCGGGTAGTTTTGAGGCATAGAAGGGTCCATACCCGTCAGGCCCTGGGCCCGAGTTGGCTGTGACTGAGCCTCCCCAATAGTGGAGCTCCGTGCAAGCTGGAGCTTCTGTCGTCTTCCCCGCACTGCCACCCTGCCGTCTGTCTTCAGTCTATCATCTGAGGAGTAACTGGCCATTTGAGCAGTTGTGTTCTGCTTTCTTTTGTGTGTTTTTAGGCTCCACACAAAAAGCCTGGAGCGGGCGAGCATGGACTACGAGGCACCGCTGATGCCCTGTGGCTGTATCCTTCTTCCACCCCTTCTGCACACCCTTGGCCCTGGGGCCCAGGGAAAGGGCAAGGCCCTTGTAGCCCCCTCGCAGGCCTGAGGTGGGGTCTGCGCCTCTGCTGCTGGCCAGGGTTTCAGGCAGGCCTCAGCCAAGGCAGCTGGGTCACCACGCAGGGAAACTTAGGAGAGGATGGGAAGGCTCCCGGGTCCTCCAGCACACTGGGTGCTGTTGGGACGGGGCGGCACTGGGGTTCCCGATCCTTGCGCCTAATGGGCAGAGCTTACAGGAGGCAGCACTGAAGACTCCAGCTGGAAGGGGCTGGAGCAGCTGGAACTGGCCCCAAGGACTAGACTGGGGGCTGTCCTTGGGACCAGGCAGGGAGGAGCTGAAGATTGAACAATAGCTCAAATTTACTAGACCTCTACTTGGGTTGCCTATCTAAATTCACTGTACTGGCCGCATGTGGTGGGTCCTGCTGGCATTCCCATTTCACAACTGGGAAGGCTGAAACAAAGGGAGGCTAGGTAACCTGCCCACGGCCACAGAGCTGGGGAGGGGCAGGGCCGGGCTAGCGAACACAGGCAGCCTGGCTCTCTCACTAGCCTCTTCCAGAAGAAACACCTCTGGCTGTGATATCACCTGGGAGCTGCCCTGCCGCCTCTCGGGTGTCCTGCCCTGCCTGCTCCTGGGGATGCTGGGAGCGAGGTGGGGACGTGCTGAGGAAGGGCTTGATGCCTGGTTGTGCAATGGTGGGTCACCCTGCCACGACCCCTCCCTCTGGATGCTACCAAAGCTCGTGCCCCCTGCTCCCCACAATAGCCACATACTTAAAATGGATGGAGGAGGGAACAGGTTTTCTGTTCTTGTTATTTTACAACCAGGGAAACTGAAGCATGAGATGGTTTGAGTCCCGGTCAATTTATTCAGCACCATATAATGAGTTTGTGACAGAAATGTGTCCCCATCCTCTCAGCTCCCTGGAGAGCACTGTCCCCTCCTGTCCTCCTGTCTCCTGGGACCTGGAAAAAGGTTTTGAATTCTTAACACACACACACACACACACACACACACACACAGAGTTTAAATTAAACAAAATCTGATGCCACATATATTTTGATAGGATTTCGTCTCAGTAAGGAAAAAAAAAATCTTTTCTTTTTTTTGCTTTTGTTCATCTATATAAACCCCAAAATTATATCTTATGTTATCTTTGTCATTGGTTTCCTTTGTCCTCAGGAAATGAAGCCTGTTTTTCCTTAATAACATGTCCCAGTCATTTTTCAGTTTCAGCTCCTGACCAGCTGGGGCGACCCCTATTACATCGGCCTTACAGGCCTGGAGTTGTATGACGAGCTGGGGGAAAAAATCCCTCTGTCAGAAAACAGTATCCTTTCCAGGCAGAAGGGGCTCTGCCCAGCCCGCAGGAAGCATGAGGGTCAGGGGAAGGAGCAGAAGTCTTGAATGTAGAGGGAAATGTCCCTATGGGAACCAGACCTGGGATTAAAAATGCCAGTGGACTCTGCCTACAGTCAGATGCTGACCCTTGGGGTTGGGCAGGGCAGCTCCCCACCACGCCTAACAAGGCCCTGGAACAGGAGATCCACAAAACAAGGAGCCCTGTGGTCTGGGGAGCTGGGAGAGGCTACCAACCGCAGCCTGCCTTGGAGAACCACAGGCGCTTTGGAATTCTAAGGGCTCTGATAAGGTCTGTAGGGAGCGGCCTGTTATGGTGTGTTCGACTCAGTGTGTCCTGGATTTATTGACTGTGGAACCCTTTGTTCGTGGCCAGGACTTGTCACATGGTACCTCATTTGCTCTCACAATAATCTTGTGAAGTGAGTGCTTCTATTATCACCATTTTACAGATGAGGAATTGAGACACAGAGAGGTTGAGTAACTTGCCCAAGGTCACACAGTCAGTGAGTGGTAGACGGCAGAGACCATGCTCTTGACACTGGGCTGCCATGCCTCACTTTGATGTAGCTTGCCTAACCCCTCTGCGCTCTTTTTTTTTTTTTTAAAGATTGTATTTACTTATTTTAGAGAGGGGGAAGGGAGGGAGAAATAGAGGGAGAGAAACATCAATGTGTGAGAGAAACATTGATTAGTTGCCCCTTGCACGCCCCCAACCTGGGACCTGGCCCGCAACCCAGGCATGTGCCCTGAGTGGGACTCAAACAGGCAACCTTTCGGTTCACAGGCTGGCCCTCAACCCACTGAGCAACACCAGCCAGGGCGACCCCTCTGGGCTCTCGATCTGTGATCCTGATACACCATGTGGGAGCTGTCAGAGCAGGTCAAACTCCAAAGCCTGCCAACTGGAACCCAGTTTCCTGCTTTCCCTTGGTGACACTTTCCTCCTCACCTAGAGGAAATGATTCTTGGTGGTTTTGATCATTTTCTGTGATTCCTTGGCTGTATAAGGCTCCGTGGTTTGACCAAGAGAGCTCACATCCAGGGTCCTTTGAGATCTTCCCATCGGTTCTGGGACATAGGGATTTTTATACCCATTTCATGGACGAGGAGCCAGGCCCAGAGACGTCATGTGACTTGCCCAAGATCTCAGGTCAGAGTGACAGAGCCGGTGCTGGAGTTGGGTTCTCCAGCCCCACGTTAATGCCCGTCAGTGGGGTGACTGCACCAGGCCAGGCCCCTCCAGTCCTTTCAGTCTTGGCAAAGGCAGAACCCAGCCATGACCCTGTCCCCTTAAAAAGGAAACCCTTCGCAGAGTTTGCTCTCCACTCACCAAAGCAGCAGCAACATACTTTGTTCCTAGCTCCAGGAGTTCCATGAAACGCTTCTTCATCATCTCTGTGTGGTTGCCTCTCCTTTCCTTGGAACCGGCCACCCATCCTCACACTCAGCCTCAGTCCACACTCTCATTTCCCCGAGAACATGTCTAATTTGCCTCTCCCTTCTCAGGCCGCCCATAACAGCAGACAGCTGCGCTGCCAGCCAGCCCCGCCCGCCCACTGGCCCCACGGCCCTGCGGCCCCTGAGCCCCGCCCACCGTTGGTGTGATGGAGGCTGGCGGCCCTGAGGGTGGTGCGCGGTGCCTGCCGAGCACACTGCTTTGAGTTATGACAGCTTAGCGCCTTCTCAGACATCGCTGCCTTTCCTGACAGCGTGAACTCCCTGGAGGGCGTATGCGGAGATGTCCGGACCCCCGACAAGCTCATCGACCAAGTGAATGACACCAGTGACGGCAGGCACATGTGGCTGGCTCCCATCCTGCCTGGACTGGTGGGTTTCCAGAGGCTCTCAGCCCTGGGGTGGACTGGGAGACTTTCTGTCCCCGGACTTAGTGACAAAACTTCCTGGCCAAGTTAATCTGGAACAAGTCAAAATACACGGAACCATCAGGATGGCTGAAGTGTTTGCTAACACGCTAAGTGGGGGATCAGCTTTTCTGGGCCAGCAGTTCTTTATCTTTGCTGTGGGGGAAGGCAGGTTACTAAAAGAGACACTAGGAGATAAAGGGCCACAGGGGACTCTGCGGCCAGGAGCCCCGTGCAACAGGCCTGGGGGCTTGGACATCCACTGGTCCCTGCGGGCGTCATTCACTGGTTCTCTTGTCTGCCTCTGCTCCTCCCTGTCGCCCACTTCATCCTCCCCCTCCCAGCTTCATCCACTCCATATTCACTCTTTCTGCTGCTTCCTTACATTACTGGGTGCTTCATGCCCTCCCTCTGGCACCAAATCTGCCTGGTCATCTCTTCTGACCAACTGATTCTGTTTCACTAGTCTCAGACTCTGCAACTGGTCCTCCTCCTGTTTTTTCTCCAACACCTGATGGAGAGCCTAGGGGTGGGCCTTCACCTGCCTGGACCTGGTTGATGGTGGTAGGGAGAGAGGAGAGCAGCTGGGAGACAGGACAGGTGGGTCTAGCACCTTGCCAGCCTCTCAGCCACAGGGCCAGGTGCCTGGGTAGTGATTGGGAGCAGCGTCTGGGGCATCCGTGTGACCATCGAAGCATCCCCTGTTCCATTCCATGGAATTGGGCAGGAGGATAAGGGGGGACATTTTCCTCTCAGAACACTCACGGGAAGGGGCAGCATCAGCAGTTCTGTGAGGGAGGTTTCCCAAAGGCCCTCCCCCCTGTTGCCCCCCTGCCCACGGCCCACCAGCTTCCCTCGAGTGGAGGCCAGTGCCTTAGCCCCAGCCCCACCATTGCGAAGGGGAGTGTGTACATCTATCAGCTCCTACAGCTGGGGCCACAAAGCTGTGGCCCCCAAGCCAGTGCCGCCTGCTGCTGCCTTGAGCGTGGCCGGCGGCACTCGTCTTTCACTGGGGTCCTCCAAGGATGGCCACCGGCTGAGAACCAGGGCAAAACTGGGCCAGACCGCCAGCAGCCTGCGGCCAGCAGCACCTGCTCATTGCTTTATTCCATCTTGCAAGGAGCCCCTAACGTGAGAACCTTGGTTGGGGAAGGACGATGATAGGCTGTTGGGTCCCACTTTACTAGCTGATCCTGCCCTTGATCTGGACCTCCCCATCCACACTGTCCCGGCAGATATTCAGAGATGAGCACCAAAAATTACCCAGCATTGACTTCAGGGCCTGTCTGCTGTGCTTTCCATTTGTGATTTGGAGAAAGGACGAACAGGGGTCAAAGCTGTGTTGACTGCCGGCGGCGGTGCTCCTTGACTCAGGAGCTCCTTGGCCCACATTGCCCCAGACTGTGTTTCTGGGGGAAGGGGAAGGGTACACCCAGTTCTCTGTGGGTATTTAAATAGGGGCCACGCCAGGCCCAAGAAAGCAGGCCCTCCAAGGGCCAGCTCAGCGGTTTGTTGCAAATGCAGCCACACGTGACCTGACTCAAGATGGGCTTTGAGGAGATGAAAGGTGGCGGGAACCCCCTGTACCGTGGCCCTGAGCAGCTCAGGCTGGACCACACGGGCAGGTGCTGCCGCCTCGGGCCCCTGCCGGGCTCGTCCCCACCCACTCCCGGCGTGCCACCACCCAGCCCGGAGCCTCTGTTTGCAAACGTGCCTGTTTTAATTAGTTCTCTCTGACAGGTGAACCGGGTTTATGTGATATTCGATCTGCCTACCACCGTGTCAATGATCAAACTGTGGAATTACGCAAAAACGCCCCAACGAGGGGTGAAGGAGTTTGGCGTAAGTACTTATTAGCTGGGTTTTTTGAGATAATTATGCTCGATGGTAATTAGGCCACTCGTTGCAGTTTGATTGACTTCTCTCGGTTGCAGCCTTAGATGCAAATGCCTGGTCATCCATGCAGGGAAATTTGCCATCCAACCAGGAATTCAACAGCCTCCTCTGAGTGATTTGAATCATCACCCTGAAAAAACAGAAAGTGGCTTTTCTTTCACTTTTTCTTCTTAAAACATACTGATTTAGGGAGTTCTTTGTGTCAGGGGGTGACTCTGGGCTGGGGAGAGTAGGACCCCCCAGGGCTTCCCAGCTCTGTCTCATGGGCTAAAGGTATTGCAGCTCCTTGAGCCTCAGCTTCCTCACCTGCAATGTGGGGCTAAGGACACGCGCCCTCCCGACGGCCGTGAGGATCTGAAGTTGTCACGCAGGCTGGGCGCGCAGTGGGTGAGGCCCGGTGCAGCGCCGCACTTTGCCCAAGGTCACATGTGGGAAGGAAGAGAGGGGCCCGGTGGCCGTACTGCAAAGCCCCTCCTCTGTGTCCGTTCAGCTCCTGGTGGACGACTTGCTCGTGTATAACGGGATCCTGGCCATGGTGGGCCACCTGGTTGGGGGCATCCTGCCCACGTGCGAGCCCACAGTGCCCTACCACACCATCCTCTTCACCGAGGACATGGACATCACCCACCAGGAGAAGCACACCACCGGCAGGTGCGCCCAAGCCCACTCCTGACCTCCCCGCCGGCCCCAAGGAGGACAGCGGCAGGGGCCCCGGGCCTGGAGCCTGATCAGACCTCGTCTTCTCCTTCTCCGCAGCGATCAGGTGGAGGACCAGGACGTCCAGATGACGAATGAAAACCAAGTCATTACCAACTCGAGAAGGAAGCAGAGTGCCGTTGACCCAGGTCAGCTTCCATTCGCAGCTCGGGGTGCCTCTCGGGAGCCTGGGCCGAATAGAGAAGGAGCTGGCAGCAGCACACACCCTCTCCTGCCCCGCCTGCCCCCAGAGCCCTCTTCTTCACCCAGGAGCCTGGCCGGGGGCTGCAGAGGGGCTGACGGAGGCCGAGCCTGGAGTGTCTTGCCGCTCTTCCTCTGCAGGCCCCTCAGGACACAGCCCTGCTCCCTTGGCAGTCAGGCCTTTTGGGCACAGAAGGGAGATGCCGTCAAGGGCAGTAGCGCATTATTGAAGGGGTTGCTGTGGGCCACACCAAACCAGTAGAGATGCACAGGGTGAGGGCTTCTCGGAGGAGGTGGTATTTAAGCCGCATCCTAAAGATGCACGGAGTTGGCCAGGCGGAGGGAACAGCATGGGCAGAGGCCTAGAGGGTAGTGTGGCAGAGCCCGCTCCAGGCGGGGGGCGGGTCAGTGTGCAGGAGCGCCGGGCTCGGAGGCTGCTGGGAGCTGCAGGTCGGGGCCAGGTCCCCAAGGGCCTTGGTTGGAAACCTAGGCAGTCTAGACCTCAGCCTGGGGGTGTGGAGCAGCCCTCCAGCGTTGAGGCTGGGTAATGCTCATCCCTCTGTGCTCTCCATTGACAGCCTTACGCCCCAAAACGTGCATAAGTGAGGAGACAGCAAGACGATGGCGGTGCTGACGGGTGAAGGAGGGAGAGCTGGTCCTCCCAGCCAGCTTGGGGCTCCATCGCTGGCCCCACTCAGCACCCATGTCCCCCCTCAGTCCTCAGTGTCTGCCAGCCCAGACCCTAGGGGCTGAAGAGAGCTGTGGAGCGGAGCCTTCTGGGGAGAGGGGACTCAAAGGGTGGACAGCCATGGAGAAGACAGGAGGGAGGAGGCAGGGATGCTGCTGCGCGGGCCTGTGGCCCTTGACTCTGCCCTGCGGGAGCTCTGGGACACCTGGCTTGGTGTTTCTCCCATTAGATCCAGCCAAACCGGGCTGGCACCCACTCAGCCCTGTCCCGGGTTCTCTGAGTCCGGTCTGACTTGGGCTGAGACAGACAGATGGGCGGGGAGGCCTCCCCTCCAGCCCAGAGCGTTGGGGAGCAGGGCATGGGGACCAGGCCTCAAACACCAACACTCGAGAGGTGTGCGCGGAGGTTCCACCTTCAGGCTGAGGTGCCAACAACTCCCTCTCCCTCCTACACATCCCTGCCTCATTTGGAGGCTAGCAGGGCTACCCGAGAGGGTGGGACTTTTCCCTGGACCCCCAAATATCTAGCCAGAACTGCTACATCCCCTCACTCATCCTGGGCCCCACCCAGGACTGGTGGAAAAGGACAGGTCCCCTCGGAGGAGCTGGTTCTGCAGGGGTCACTGTCCTTTTATGAAGGCTGAGAAGGGAATGGCCAAAGGCCTGGGGCCTGCCGAGGAAGGGAAGGGTGCTGCACCCACTTGTCTAGAGCCGAGCCCACCCCGGCATGCCGGCCACTCGTCCCTGTGCTGCCAGGCCCAGGCAGGACCGGCAGGAGGGCAGCTACAGACCCCAGAGGGCCAGTGGGGCCCACCTAGAGGTCCTCTGGCCGAAAGGCAGGGGAGGCTGGGGACCAGCACCACAGCCCCGCTCTCGACCCCCAGGGGCTACGCCTTCTCCGCCTGAACTGTGGGCGGAGACGGCCCGCGTTGCACTCCCGGTGCGGCCCTGGAGTCGGGGAGCGGGCTCCGCATTCTGACCTGTCCCTTTCTGTCCGCATCGTGCCCTTGGAGTCAGGCAGTGAGGGTCTCGCTGCCCAGGCCCCCCGCTCTTCTCCCTCTTCCAGCAGCTTCCCAGCAAGCTGGAAATGTGCCTTGCACCCCCAGCTGAGTGAAGCCCAGAACACATCTATTTCCATCTATGTAACAAGCTCGGATCAGGGACCTAATTGGTTTCCCAGTGGTGGGTAATTTCTCGTTCCCAATATTAATCCGTTGTTTTCCTGGCGCCCAGCCCAGCCGTGTTACTGTACTCCAAGTACGTTCCTATGCAACCGAGAGCCCAGCAGATACTTTATGAGCTTTGCAGCTTCCGCGGGCAGCTATGCAAATGCACTTCTCATCTGGAGCGTGGGGTCGATGCGAAGATAAGGAATTGTTTCTCCCCAAGAAGATCCATCATTTCTGTAGCCTCCAAGCCCCCGGCTTCTCTGCTCGCCTCCCAGAGGTGGCGCCTGCAGGGCCTCGGCTCCCAGGAGAGCTGACGCCTTGGGGAGTCGGGGGCTGATCAAACCAGCTCTTAGTGACCAAAACCAGAGCCGTGGCTTTAAAGGGAGCCCAGCTGTCCCTCCCCCCACCCCCCGCTGGGCACGGGCACAGGTCAGATTTGTCGAGAACATTGCACAAACACCACGCACACTTGCTCCTGGAACCTCAGCTGATGTTTATAATAATTGTGTGTACCATGCAATTTTGAAGGAAAGAAAGGCTGTACAGGCATTAACTCTAAAATAAATTTCTATTTTTTTCTCTTGCAAAATCAATAAAAGATATTGTGAAGGATGTACTTTGGTACACTGGATTGGGGGTCAAAGACAGCCCATGCTGCCTCCTGCAACTGAGTCAGAGTCCACTGAAGGCCGGCCAAGTGACGTGGCAGATGTCCCCTCTCTGAGCTTCATTTTCCCCGCCCGTGAGTGAGCCTGGCACTGTGTGAAAAGCAGAGGATCTAAGCCCATATGGGGATAGTGATTGCTCTGTGCCTGGCACTAACTCATTTAACCCACGTAACAACCCTAAGGGGTAGGCACTGTAACGATCCTCCTTTAATAGATAGGGAAACTGAAGCACAAAGAGGTTGAGTAACTTACCCAAGACTCACAGCTGCGGGAGCTCATAGTCAATGCACAAATCCCGAGATAACCGCAGGAAAGCTGAGGTGGCAGTGAAATCCCTGGGCCTTTGGCTCTGGGAGTTCCCCTCAGCGTGTGTGGGTGCTGGAGGCCCACCCCAGGTGCCTGCCCGATCCTTGGCCTCCCACTTCGGTTCCGACTGCCCTGCTCCCCTCCGGCAGCCCTGGGCACCTGGATAAAGCAGCCGTGAGTGGAAAGGAGGTTCAGTTGAAAGGGGTGGGAGCGTCTGGACTGCAGCTGGGGGGCCAGCAGGTGCCTTGGCGGTGGGGAAGAGGGCCCTTTGGAAACCCACCCTCTACCGGGGTGAGGCGCGAGTCCTTCTGTCCGCCCCCTGCCCCCATGGAGGGAAGACGGCAGGGCCCCTGGCGGCCCTCACCTGCGCCCTGCCGCTCCCTCCCAGGAAGACGGAGGGCCCTGCTATGCCAGGGCACACTGGTGCTGGAGAGGCCAGCCCCGGAGGCCCTCGAAGGTGGGAGGCTGCACGAGGCACCCCCACCTTCTCAGCCACGATGAGCCTCCCGGCCAGCAGCCAGCACCCTTGGCCTGGGTCCCTTTGTTCAGGGAACAGAGCTGACCTGGGAGGGCCTTGCTCCTGGAGCAGCACAGTGCCAATGGCTCAGCAACGCCAGGTCTTTAACATTTTTAAGAGAAGCCAGAAATTCAGGTGTTCTATTTATTTTTAATGTGAAATCTAACTTAAATGTGGGCTCAACTTAGCCAAGCAAACAAACACCAAGTGCCCCAGATAAAACCGGTTGCAAGTCCTGTGTAGCCCACCTTCCCCCCAGCCTGCACCCTGCCTCAGAGCGAGCACCAGCCCCCTCCCTCCCCGGCCCCCTTGAAGGCTGCAGTCCCCAGCCCGCAGCTCCGCAAGTGCCCCAGGGCTGGCTCCTCCACCCTCCTGTCTCTCCAGGGAGGTAAAGGGAGGGAGGAGATCATTCTTGGACCCTTGCCCTGCCCCTCAGCCCTCCATGGGCAGAAAGGCCAGGGTCGGTCGGGTGGCCTCTGCATGTTAGAGGCCCCCCCCTCAGCCCTGGTGGGAGAACAGAGGCTTCTCCCTTCAAATCCTACATTCCCCCATCACCCTATAAGCACAGGGTGTAAATTAGCCCAAAGCTGCAGCTGCCAGGGGCCCCTAGGCACCAGCAAGCCCTGGCGTGGATTACCGGGAATGAATCTTTGCCACGGCGGACAAGAAGCTTAAGGACGAACAGGCTTGGGTTCCCAGAGGAATCTCTCCTCAGGCCTCTGTCCCCTTGGGGACCTGCTTTCTCTGTCCAGCAGTGGGAAGAACCTGCTTCCATCTGTCTGTCTGACTCCAGATAGCACCACGAGCTCAGAGGACCCAGGGCCTGCCAAGGCCGTTTCTGCAGCCAGACAGGTGGCCGCTGCCCCACGCCCAGGCACGTTTGCCCAGGTGTCCTGGGTCCTTTCTCAGGCCTCACCTTCCACCCCACCTGGGGCCAGGACGGTCCCTTTCTGAGGCTCCAGGCCCCACCCAGCCTCTCGGTGAGCTGCAGGTCACAATCTGGTGGCTCAGCCTACTCAGCGGGGGCTGGCTCTGCTGGTCTGGGAAGTTTCCTGCTTTTCTGGAAAAACTGGAAGATCTGGCAGCTCTAGTCCCACCTTACTGGAGGGGCCCTGAACCCAGGTCGCTGCAGGACCTCCCAGCCCCCGCTGCCTCCCACTGGCCTGCTTCCCTCACGTGCTGTGCGTGCCTTCACAGCCCTTGGCTTCCCTACTCAGCAGGGTGCCGGCAGTGCCTGCTTTCTGGAGGTGCTCCTGGGAGGGGAGGTGCGGTCCATATGCTGCACAATTACACCCAGTTTATCGGTGTGCGCACTCAGGCTTTCAGAGTAAGTGTCTTGGGAGCTGAGAGGGGACTCCAGGCCTGCCCAGCTCCAGGTGGGGGCTCCTCACCAGAGCAACATGGCCCTACGCTCCTTGGCTTCTGGGACGTCTGCCCAGCCTCAGCAGCTTGGTCTGGGAAGGGCCCTGGCCTTTGGGCAGGGGCTGCTCTCCCCTCCCCTGCCACCCTCGACCCGGCCCCGGCCCCGGCCCCGTTGCTTCAGTCCTTCCCCTGCCGCCTTTCCCTAACCCAGCCTGCCTGCGCCCTGCTCACCGCCCCCTACCCCCGCCGACCCTCACCCAGGAAGTTCCCGGGAGGGCCAGGAGGCCTGAGGAAGGGCACATGAGGCACAGACTTGCCACCCTGGCCTCATGCCACAGAACGTCTCTCGTGCAAAGGCCTTCCTTCCCTCTCGCGTCCCGGGACCCCTCCTTCCCCCAGGTCCTGACCAGTCCTGGTGGCTGCCAGGCTCCTGCCAGGCCTCGGGACATCAGCTCAGCCACCAGCCTCCCCTGAGGTGGAGGCTCAGACAGGGTCAGTCCAGGATGAAATGTGGCCTAACACGCAAGTACCAGGGTAGCAGGGGCTGGACTGCACTGGGGAAGGGCAGAGGTCCCGTGCCAGACTTCCCTCTGTCGTGCAGGAAATCCCTGTGCGGAAGAGCCTGGTTTTTCCTCATGACTGATGGTCCTCAGCTGGGCTATTTGTCCTCCGTCCCATGGCCGGCCGCCCACCGGCACGGTGGTGCAATCTGTCCTCTGCCCCACAGCTGGGCATGAGGGCGAGTGGCGCTGAGCTCCAGCCCTCCAAGCTGTGTGCTCCGGGCCATATCTCTTGTGGTTGGGGACGGGAGCTGTTTTGATTCAATCACCCATAGGCACCTTCTCCTGATTTCCACCAAGGCCCCCGAGCGGCTGTGTCCCTGCTGCAAGATATCGCAGCTCAGACTCAAGCCTCAGGCAAAGCCCAGCCCAACACAGTGCCCGTCACGCCCCTCGCTCCCCGCCCTCGTCTCCAAGCCACATTGGTGCTACGTCTCTTCTTCCCCAGGGCCACCACCCTCTAAGCCCCCACGGTCCCTGCCAGGACCCGCCCTGTGTCTGCCCCATGCCCCCTCCCTCGGGCCCTCTCCCCACAGGACCAGGGCAACTTCCCAAAATGCAGACCTGATCATGTCCACCTCTTAAAACCCTCCTGTCACCGTTGTCATTATAACCCCCGTGCGGAGTCTATACTGAGCTGTCATTCACTTTGAGATTCTGTTAATACATTTCTTTTCTTTTTTCCAGTATTTTTGTTCCAAATACAAATATTGTGACTGCAAAAAAAGAAGAAAAAAAAGGCCTCCTCTCAATGGCTCCCGGTGGCCTTTCCTGTGGTGAAAGCCAACCCCTTGTCATAATCCACAAGGTCCCACCCACCCTGACTCCGGGTGACCGCCCCGCAGCAGGCCTGTGCCGCGGGCTCCTACCGGCCTGTGCTGTCCCAACCACAGCGCCGCACACCGTCCCCCTCAGCCCCACGGCCCCTGCGCGGCTCTGACGTCTGCCCACAGCCCTCGCCGCCCCCTCGCTCCCCCTCCCACCCCTGCTGCAGGGGCCCTGCCTCCGAGGGGCCTGCCCTCACCGCTCCGGTTTAAATCAGGTCTTTCCCTGGGTCACCTGTGTAGCACTTCTCACATCCCGAGGTGACATTTTTGTCGTTTGAATTAACTTGGCAGACCCAGACGCTTTTCTTCATCCTCACTTCCTCCCAAGCAAGGGGTCAGCACACTGGCAGCAGCAGCTCTTCCCTGGGGAGAAACCTCCCAGCATGCCTGTCCTCCGGCCCGGCTGCGGCGGACGAACGCCATGAATCAAGTTGACGTTTCCATTACTGGAGCCGGGGCTGGCTTCGGTGGGGGTGGTGGAATGACTGCTCATCACAGCCACCAGCCGAGGAGGGACATCAGCCCAGCGATTGCCTGCGGCCTGGGCCTGCCCATCAGCCCTCAGCCTAGGGAAGGACCATGGCCCCGGGGGCTCTCTGCCTCTGGCGGGAGAAGGGGTGACATGTGCAAACCAGGGGGCGGAGCCTCATTTCAGGCACCAGGCAAGTGCAGACATGGGCGCAGGGCCATATGTGTCCAGGGCCAGCGCAGGCGCACATGAGTGTGTGCGTGGGTTCCCCGGGAGCACGCAGGCATGGTGAGGGCCGAGGACACAGGTGAGCATGTGCGCACGTATGAAGCGTTATCCTGAGTTTATACAATGTCCAGGTTGGCATGTACACTCAAGCCCAGGACATGTAACTACAGGGTCATTAGGTGCAGGTGCCCAGAGCAGAACGTGAGAACTACCCTGGGCTGTAGATCAGGCCGACGTATGGGGGTCAAGATGAGAGGTATATACAAGCCAACAGCCATTCAACCGTCACAACATGTTGCTTGACACAGGGCAGGGAGCCAGGAAAGCTGTTTGCAGGGGCAGGAGGAGGGAGCTTTTGCATTCTTACCCAGGCTTCTCTGTGCTCACCCAGTCACCCTGCCTGCAAATCAGATGAGTCTCCATCCTCCCAGATTGCGGCAGACAGTGGCATGTGTTCCCTGCAAGAAGCCGCCCTCCCAGTAACTCCCAGTAGGGACCCACTGGGATCACTTGCCCAGCATGCCTGGAAATGCTTCCTTTTATCTAACCAGCAGCCTTCTTGCTGCAGGCTCTGTAAGACTGAAAGACAGCTAGTTCTCACATGCCGCCCAGGAGGGGACAAAAGGACTTGAAGTGTGAGTGGCCCTGTGGGCCTCCTACCTCCTTCCCTTCCCTCCCTGGCCTGTGTGGGGGTAGGAATGGCCCCTGCTTGAGCCGTTCACATACCATAATCACGTACACTTGCACAAGTATTTATTTAATCATATTTTTCTTAAGCCAACTCTGTCTTTTTACTTGAATGCCTACTGTGAACTCATGGCACTGTTGTGCCCATTACATATTTTTTTCCTAATACACATTTACATAAACACAACTATTAAAATAGATTAAAATTTTGCCCATGTGCCAACTGAAATTATGTCCTGGACCTCTGGTCCACTTGCCAACTTCGGAAGGAGCTTGGAGTGAGAATAAAGAGCGCCAAGGTGCCTGGCGCCCCAGGCCAGGCTCCCTTCTGGGGTGTCACTGCCCTGCCCCATATCTGCAGTGGGTCTTCTTGCCCAGAGGCCAAAGCCTGAACTCTTGTCCTGACAGTCAAGGCCTTTGTAACTGGGCCCTAATCTCTCTCCCAGACCCATCTCCCGCCCCACATCATAGATCCAAAATACTGAACAAATGAAAAATGGATTATGGAAGCACTCACTTGAGAGATCAATGAATGAATGAGCACATACCTCCACCTGGGCGTCCTTCAGGCACCTGAGATGCAAGACACCGTTGACTTTCCCTTCCTCCCACATCAGCCCACCCCGAGCCTGTTGACTTTTCCCTCCTGACTAGCTCCTGAATCTGCCCTCGTCGTTCTACCTCCAAGGCCACACCCTCTTCTCTCTCTTCAAGTATGGTCAGGGCGAGGAGAAAAGCCTGGCCTCCCCCATCTACTCTCTGCCCACAGCCTCAGCGACCTTCCTAGATGCACAGGTAGGCGCTTCCTTCTCATCCAAGAGCACCCCCAGCTGCTGCTGGCCAGGGCGGAGGCTAAGCTTCCTAAGGGGCTCGGGGCACCTCCAGCCAGGCCCCTCCAACCCCCGCAGCCTGCTTTCTCACCACCTGCTCCCTCCCTTTTCTCCACACCTGCCATCTAGACTATTCTAAATTTTCTGCTATATTCCTGTCTTCCCTTCTACACTCTTGCCTGCCTGACATCCACACAACCTTTATGTCTTGGCTTAAGTGTCATTTTCCCAAAGGAGCCCCCTCTCACCACTACCCCCCAACCCAGCAGCCCCTCATCGCAGCGACAACGAACAGTAACAAAGCACTTACTCCGTGCCAGGCTCTGCTCTAAATGCTTCCCACACATTGGTTCATTTAACCCTAAGAACAGCTTTAAGAGGTAGTTAAAATGATCATCCTCATGTGCCCATGGGGACGAGGCACAAGAGAGGTCAGGTAATTTGCCTGAGGTCTCAAGTGAAGGAGGCTGGGATTGAAACACAAGCTGCCTGGCCCAGAGCTGGGAACCACAGCACTTCACAACTGAACTACCATCGTCTGTCTTGTTACCTGTCCTGCCCATCTGTGAGCTCTGCAAAGACACCCTCTCTGGGTGGTTCAATACCCTGTCTCAAGTGCCTACCATAGTGCTTGGCCCATAGTAGGGGCACAATGAATTCTATCACTGGGTAGATGAACATATAGATGGATGGCTGAATAATGAGGATGGGTGACGCATGAAGGAATGAGGGATGGATGTCCGACACAGGGAACGATGACAGCTGATGGATGGATGAATGGATGATAGACAGGTGGAGGAATGGATGGCGGGTGGATGAAGGATGGATGGATGATGGGTGGATGACGGATAGATGATGATGACTGGGAAATGGATGGTGAATGGATAGATGTTGGATCATGAATAAATGATGAATGGATGGATGATGGGTTTATATGGAAGAATGAAGAACAGTTGCTGCTCGGGGGAAAGTTCTAGAAATCCTCTGGAAAGAGATGAGGCCTCTTGGAGTCAGGAGTCCTGGTTCAAACCCATCTCTGCCATTTGCTAGTTTTGTGATCTTGGGGGCAAGTTTCTTTATCTCTGTGACTCTGATTTCCCTTGTCTTTGTAATAAGAATCTCTTTCCCCAGGCATCCAAGCCCAAGGATTTGATGTTAAGGTGTCTCTAGTCATAAGGTAAAGGGTCCCCACTGGGGTCAGGTTGGCTTAGGATCTGAGGGTGAGGGCTTCTCTCTTGCCCACCCCACATTTCTCGTCTGCCTGGTGCCCCCAGCTTTTCCACCATCTGGAATCCAAGGCAGCCTGCCAGCCTGACCTCACCCCCAGACCCAGCGTGGCTCTGGGCTTCCTCCCAGCTACACCTCAGTGTCTGACCCTGACGGTAGCACAGTCAGGGCTGACTCGCCTTCAGGCTCCTTGAGGACCTGATAGGATAGAGCCATGAAGGGGCAGCCACAGCCCAGAGAGCAACTGGCCTCCACGCACAGCAAGAAAACAGGTTCAACAAGCATTTATTGAGCCCCTGCTGGTGCCTGCTGTGTGACCCCTTGTGGTGCCAGTGTCACTGGCCCTCCTTTAGGAAGCCCCCACCCATGCCCTGCTGAACTTCCTAGCTGGCTCAGGGACCCCAGGCTTCCAACGGCTGATGTCCACGGCTTTCCTGGCATCCCAGCTATACCCAGCAGGGCTCTGCGTGTCACAAGAGTTTAAGAAGTTGCTGTCCCAAAGTTGCTCTGTGCAACCTTGTATATTCCTGCAGGCCACGCTGGCCCCATCGCTGGGGCCCTGGGACGCCGGCAGTGGTGGGCAGGGCAGGCCTGGTGTCTCCCATGCAGGCTGGCCGAGTTCAGAGCACACAGGCCAGGTTTCGGTGGGTGCCAGACCAGGGATCTTGTGGCAGGGGCTGGTGCTAACGATGGCCTGAGCTCTGAGGGCCAGCTGGGTCTCGGTCACACCCAGTGCCCCAGGACCCAGCACTGGCGGTTCAGCTCTGGGGCCTCATGTGCAGAGCTCCGGGGCCAGGAATCTCCCATGTGTGGCTGGTGTCCTGCCAAGAAACAAGGTGGTCAGTGCTGTCAGTTGCCTTTCTCCATCAACACTCCATCTGCCCACTGCCCCGCCAGCTTACTACCCTCCTACCCGCACATCCATTATCCACCCCCAACTTGAAAGGCCTCCCGTATGCCTTCCAGAACCCCTACCCACCCATCTGTCAACCCACATCCAACTCTCCATCTGCTGTCTCGCCCAGCGGCTCACCCTCCACCCACTTTCCACGCCATCCCATGCCCCCATTACCTGCCCATCTACCCATCAGCCCACCAACACCTAGACATACATCTGCCAATATCCACAGCATCTACCTATCACCCCCCAATATATCCACCGCTCCACTCACACACTCTTCCCACCCACAACCCACTCATAGCCCTAAAACCCACTCATGCACCCCCCACCTAACAGCACGCCGGCCTGCCCACTGTCACACCCTCCATCCTGCTCCTGCCCCATTAACACACCCACCAGCACTGCTCCCCACATACACATCTATCTACAACCCAAAACAACCACATATCCACTCACCCGTCCACACCCCCCAATTCACCCGCTTTCTCATTTACTTCCCAACCTGCTGACACTTCCTCTAATTCACCAAGTCCCCGCCCCCCATGCAGGCACCCACCAACCCTCCATCCTCCTGCCCCCAACCCACCAACGTAGCCATCCAACAACCCACCACTACCCCTACCATCCACCCTGCACCCCCTGCTCTCACATTCACCCATCCCATCCCAAGCCATCCACCCACTCAGGACATCTACCTACCAATTTCCATCTCCCTTTCACCTGTCCACACCCTCAGGTAACCACTCATCCTTTCCCTGCGCACCCATCTACCCACCCTCCTATCCCCGCCATCCTGCAACCGCCTCTCCATCTCTACCTATCTGCCCACCCTGTCAGGTTTCTCTTGAGTCCCACTGTGTGCCTTTGAGTGCTAAGGAGCTGGGGGAAGGTTGGGACAAGTGTGGATGGATTCTGGGTCCTGGTTCTTACTTGGCCCCAGGGACAGTGAGTGCCTATGAGGGTGTCCCAAGATGACTCTGAGCAGCCCTCTGGGCCAAGGTATCAGGCAGAGGTTCTACCACCCTCCACCACTGACCACTGCTCTTGACGGTCGGGCAAGCAGTGGGGCTGGGAGGCTTGTTTTGATCCAATATGCTCACTCCTGTTTTCCTTGATTCTCGGAAGCTTGCTCCTTGCCTTTGTGCAGGTGCTTCCTTGGTATCTAACATGCCAGAACCATTTCCATCTCCACGTGACCCGGAGGCCTAAAATGTCCTCGTACCTACTGTGAATCCAACTCTCAAGGAACAGCTCAAGTCTTCCCACCCACAGGAAGACTACAACATCCTCCCCCCAGCCCTCAGGGGCTTCCTCCATCTTGGAACACCCACCCTGAGAGGTTTCCTGTCCATTAGACTGGGCGCCCAGCCGGGCTATGGCTCCACCCAGGGAGGATGCTCCCCAGGGGATCGATGGAGGTGGAGCCAGAGCGAGGAAGCAAAGGGAGGGCCGCACTGGAGGTCAAGGGAGAAACTGACAGTGACTGAGCACTTACAGTCAACACACCCTCCTAGACCTTAGTCTCAATCCAGGAGGCAGGCGAATTTTACCAAACATTCAAAGAAGAACTAACTCCTATTCTTCTCAAACTATTCCAAAAAATTCAAGAAGAGGGAACAATCCCAAACTCTTCTTATGAGGCCAATATTACCCTAGTTCCAAAACCATGTGAAGACACAACAAAGAAAGAAAATTACAGGCCAATATGTCTGATGAACATAGATGCTAAAATCCTTAACAAAATATTGGCAAACCACATCCAAGAATACATTAAAAAGATCACCCACCATGATCAAGTGGGATTCATCCCAGGGATGCAAACACGGTCCAATATTCGCACATCAATAAATGTGATACGGCATGTAAACAAAATGACGGACAAAAATCACATGATCATATCAATAGATGCAGAAAAAGCATTGGATAAAATCAGTACCCATTTATGATTAAAAAAACACTCAACAAAGTGGTAATAGAGGGAGCATACTGCAACATAATAAAGGCCATGTATATAATAAACCCACAGCCAGCATCATACTCAATGGCCAAAACTAAAAGTTCTTCACTTAAGATCAGGAACAAGGCAAGGGTGTCTGCTTTCACCACTCTTATTCAACACAGTAGTGGAAGTTCTAGCCACAGTGATCAGACAAGAAAAAGAAATAAAAGGAGGAAGTAAAACTGTCATTATTTGCAGATGACATGATAGTGTATATAGAAAACCCTATTGGCTCCACCAAAAAACTTTTTGACCTAATAAGTGAATATGGCAAAGTAGCAGGATACAAAGTCAATAACCAGAAATGATGGCATTTTTGTACACGAAGAGCAAAATATCAGAAAGAGAAACTAGGAAAAAAAATCCCATTTACTATAGAAACAAGAAAAATAAAGTACCTAGGAATAAACTTAACCAAGGAAGTAAAAGACCTGTACTTGGAAAACAATAGAACTGAACAAAGAAATTGAGGAAGATACAAATAAATGGAAGCATATACTCTGTTCATGTATTGGACGAAATAACATCATTAAAATGTCCATACTACCCAAAGCAATCTATAGATTCAATGCAATTCTTATTAAAATACCAATGGTATATTTCGTTGATGTAGAACAAATGCTCCAAAGAATTTACTGGGAACCAGAAAAGACCACGAATAACTTCAGCAACCTTGAGAAAGAAGAATAAAGTTGGAAGGATCATAATACCTGATATAAAACTACATTACAAGTTTGCTGTAATCAAAACAGCCTGCATCTGGCGTAAGAACAGACACATAGATCAATGCAACAGATTAGAGAGCCCAGAAATAAACCCATGTCTCTATGGTCAATTAATATGTGGCAAAGGGCATGGCATCAGCATTCAATGGAGTAAAAATAGTCTATTCAATAAATGGTGTTGGGAGAACTGGACTGGTACCTGCAAAAAAATGAAACCAGACCACCAACTTACACCATACACCAGAATAAACTCAAAATGGATAAAAGACTTAAATATAAGTTGTGATATCATAAAAGTCCTCGTAGAAAACATAGGCAGTAAAATTTCATATATCCTATGTAGCAATATTTTTGCTGATATATCTCCTAGGGCAAAGGAAATAAAGGAAAAAATAAACAAATGGGACTACATCAAATTTAAAATCTCTGCACAGCTAAAGAAACCATCATCAAAATGAAAGGGAACCAACCATATGGGAAAAGATATTTGCCAATGATACATTGGACAAGGGTTTAATCTCCAAAATATATAAAGAACTCATATGACTCAGCACCAGGGAGACAAACAATCCAATCAAAAAATGGGCAAAGGACCCGAACAGGCACTTCTCCAAGGAGGACACACAGATGGCCCATAGACATATGAAAAGATGCTTAGCATCACTAGCCATCGGAGAAGTGCAAATTAAAACCACAATGAGATATTACCTCACTCCTGTCGGAATGGCCATCACTAATAAATCAACAAACAACAAGTGCTGCCGAGGCTGTGGAGAAAAGGGAACCCTCGGGGACTGTTGGTGGGAATGCAGACTGGTGCAGCCACTGTGGAAAACAGTATGGAATTTCCTAAAAAAATTAAAAATGGAACTGCCTTTCAACCCAGTGATTCCACTGCTGGGATTATACCCTAAGAGTCTCAAATCACCAATTCAAAAGAATCTATGCACCCCAATGTTCATAGAAGCATTATTTACAATAGCCAAGTGCTGGAAACAGCCTAAGTGCCCATCAGGAGATGAGTGGATCGAAATATTGTGGTACTTACCCAATGGAATACTACACAACAGAAAGGAAGAAGGAACTTCTCTACCTTTTGCAACAGCATGGATAGAACTGGAGAGCATAATGGTAAGTGAAATATGCCCAGTGGTGAAAGACAAATACCATGTGGTCTCACTTATAAGAGGAATCTAATGAAAAAAAAAAAAAAAACAACTAACAAGCAAAACAGAACCAGTAATGTGGAAACATGGAGCAGACTGAAAGTGGCTAGAGGAGAGGGAGGGGAATGGTGAGAAGAAGGGGAAGGGAGAAGTCAAAAAACATATATGAATGACTCATGGACATAGACAACAGTGTGGGGATTGACTATGGGAGCGGGGGTGCGGGCTGGGTGGAGGAGGGCAAAGGGGGAAAAACTGGGTCAACTGTAATAGCGTAACAGTTTTTTTAAAAAAGCCTGGGAGGCATCCACGACCATTTCACAAATGAGGGAAATGAAACTCAGCAAAGATAAGGGACCACCTTAGGATTCACAGCTATAGTGGAACTGGATTCAATCAATTTTTTCCTGATTCCAAACTTCCATGTTAGAAGAAATTTGTTCCATATATTTTTTCCTACCCTGAACTCCAAAGGATGCTCAGACATTCTTGTCATCCTTTAGGGTCAGGCAGGCTCTTTATAGCAAGCCTCTTGAGGTGGAGATTCCTGCTGAAGCCAAGCTCCTGCTTGCACACCTTCAAGGACAGACTGCTCATTACTCTTCCTGCACCCCAAAAGCAGCTCTGAGTGTTGGAAAATTCCTCCTCATAACAAAGGCTGAAGGCAACAGGCAAAAATGAAGATGTTCATGCCGATGATGGGTGCATGTATTTTCCCCCTCTGGCTTTTTTTCTCTTTTTAATATTCTTTAATGTTGGTTGGTGCTTTGCTAATTTTACTATATTTTTTAAAGGGGTGGGAAACAGTTGGCAAACATTCTGGAATCATTTGGCCTCAGGAAAAACATTTGTTTTGGCTCCAGTCACTGAAACAGTTGCATTCTTTGGAAGTGTTTGCTGCCAAGGTATAGGAGTTTGAGATTTTTTTTCAATCGAGAAGCAAATATTTGGTGAGAAGGAAGATTTGATTATTTTTCTAAGTGAGTATTTAAGAGTGATTGTAGTTGTTCTTACCTTTGCTAACAGGCAG